ATGGTCACCCGGTCCAAAGTTGGCATATCCAAACCCAAACATATCCTCAACCTTAACTCCATGGCCCAAATTTCCCCACTCCCACCCACCTATCGTAGTGCACTAAAGGATCAAAACTGGTACAATGCTATGTGTGATGAATTTAATTCCTTGATTAAAAACGAAACATGGGAATTAGTACCCCCCTCCCCCTCACAAAATATTATCACTGGCAAGTGGCTTTTTCGCCACAAATTTGGTCCTACAGGTGAACTGTCCAGGTACAAAGCTCGATGGGTGGTCCGCGGATTCAATCAGCGCTATTGCATCGACTACGACGAGACTTTTAGCCCTGTTGTTAAACCAGCCACGGTACGAATTGTTCTCACTCTCGCCTTATCTCGCGGCTGGCCGATCTATCAGCTAGATGTCAAGAATGCCTTTCTGAATGGTACACTCCACGAGACAGTCTATGCACAGCCTTCCGGTTTTCAGGATCCAGCACGCCCACATTATGTTTGCAGGTTGAAGAAGGCCCTATATGGCCTCAAGCAGGCCCCGCGCTCTTGGTATCACCGGTTTGCAGGTTTCCTTCTTATTTGGGCTTTCGAGGCTACAAAAGTGACACGTCCCACGTATCACCGGTTTGCAGGTTTCCTTCTCACTTTGCAGGTTTCCTTCTCATGGTTCTGACACGGCTTATCTTCTTCTTTATGTGGACGACATAGTCCTCACAGCCTCCTCCACTGCTCTTCTCACCCGCCTTACTCAGAAACTTAAGGGAGAGTTCGCCATGACAGATATGGGGGACCTCAATTTTTTCCTTGGGATTAATGTTCAACGCACTGGCGGCGGCCTCTTTCTTCACCAGACACAGTTTGCCCATGAAATCCTGGAACGTGCTGACATGCTCCACTACAAGCCCATCTCCACGCCAGTCGACACCAAAGCAAAGCTGTCAGCCACGTCCGGAACACCACTTCCGGACCCCTCCGTATACAGATCCATCGTCGGCGCCTTACAGTATCTTACTTTCACTCGGCCTGATTTACATATGCAGTCCAACAGCTCTGCCTACACCTTCATGCCCCCCGCAGCACCCATCTCACAGCTATGAAGCGGGTTCTACGCTACATTCATGGCACTGCTACTCATGGCATCACACTTCACCGTACGGGCACAAATTCCTTGCAGGCCTACTCCGATGCTGATTGGGCTGGATGCCCCGACACTCGTCGCTCCACCTCGGGGTATTGTGTCTTCCTTGGAGACAACCTCATCTCATGGTCCTCCAAGCGCCAGGCCACCACCTCCCGCTCCAGTGCTGAGGCCGAGTATCGTGCCGTGGCAAACACCGTAGCTGAGGCAAGCTGGGTCCGAAATCTTCTCCTTGAGCTTCAACAACCCCTGCGGCGTGCCACATTGGTCTTTTGCGATAACGTCAGTGCCGTTATCTGTCATCAAACCCAGTACAGCATCAGCGCACCAAACACGTAGAAGTCGACATCCACTTTGTCAGAGACAAGGTTGCCCTAGCGCATGTCAGAGTACTACATGTCCCCTCCTCTTTTCAGTATGCAGATATTTTCACTAAAGGGCTTCCGTCTCTTCTCTTCTCCGACTTCAGACACAGTCTTTGCGTCCGTCCTTCGCCAGTCACGTAGTTGGGTGCATGTTAAATATGTTATGTATATATTTAATATTAATTATGTGATCATTGTATTTATGGTAGTTTACATGTATAGGTTCTCTTCCGTAATTAGGAATCTTCTGTAACTATTTATACGAGGCTTCGCCCTCCGTTATTTCTCAATAGAAAATAACAATTCTTCATTGATAAAATAAAATATTCTAGTCACCTACTCCCTCCGTTTCTCAAAAGGGTTCCTCTTTTGACTTTGGAGAAAAATAAGGAAGTGTTAAATTCTAGTTGACTTTCCAATTTTGCCCTTGATATGATGGGTAAAAGTAAGATGTGATAGTTTAGTTGTTAGTGAAAAAGTATGATGTGATAGGTAAGATATGAAAAAGTAGGGGTAAATTCCCGTTCAAATTCCTTGAACCAAATATAGAGTAAGTCAAAATCTGTGTTGAATTCGTGCCTACCCATGTCTTCATGACATATTTATATGGTTAAACAGAGGGCTATTATTATTTTCTATACTGACCTCATTCACACTATGTACTAGGGTTGTTCATCGGTCCAGAACCGGACCGGACCGGACCAAACCGAAGACCGAAATTAGAATAAAATAGGACCGAAGACCGAACCTATAGATAATCGGTTTTAGACCGAACCGGACCGAAATATCTTAGACCGAACCGATCTGGACCGAAAAGACAGAAGTAACTGTGCAAAGAAGAAAAGAGGTAGAGCGGGGAGAAGAAGAATACACTGTCCTAGAAGCTGGAAGAGATGTTTTTGCAACTTCATAAAAAATAGGAATCAAATGATCTCCACAAAAAAATTAGACTGTATCTTTAACACACAACACATTCACACGGATGTTAAAAGCTAAAACATCAATATTAATTGAAATTCTCACAAATACGGAGTATCAAATGTCCAGCAAGAAAAAATTAAGGAGGAATTTGAATATTAGCAATGATTTGAAGATTATACCAAATAAATACCATTACACAAAAGATTTTCAGGTTTTGGCACTGAAATATACTTTAAGAAACGAGATCCGAGGGCTAGGGTTCAAGATTTAGTGCCGGCAGCGCCTCCATCATCCTCGAAGTCTCCTTTCTCTCGCTCCCTGGCCTGTTCGCATCAAGTAGGAGCTCTTCCCTTTCCGATTTCATGCTCTCCGCCGCGTGGAAGAAGAAAGAGAAGAGGAGAATGAATGGATAACAAGTGAATGGCTGAAGTTTTGCTACTGGATGTCTGGATAACACTGGAGATAATGAATGGTGTGGGTTTGCTACTTGAATGGATAACACATACGGAGTAATGGGCGGATAACACATACGGAGTAAGTGAGTAACTGGCATAAGTAATCGGTCCATTCGGTCCGGACCAAAATAATATCGGGTTTGGACCGGATCGGACCGAAACCTGAAAACCCAAATAATCAAGACCGAAGACCGACCCTAAATATACTCGGTCCGGGTTCAGTCTGGACCGAACGGTCCGGTCCGGTCGGGTTTTTCGGTCCGGACCTAAACTTGAACAGCCCTACTATGTACTCCCATTCACAATAAAATTTTAGGCTTTTAGCAAATGGACGAAATGAAGATAGGAGAGAGGCAGAAGGTAAAAATTGCTTTCTATCCTAATAAAGTATCATAAGGTCTTCAAATAGACATGTTATATAATATGGCATTAGAGTTGAATGCCAAAAGAACTCTTATCAATTTTATATAGTTACTTCTTTAGTAATGAAATGAGCAATATAAATTATGAAATACGAACTCATTATCGAGGGGAAACCGTTTATATATCTTTTCTCAGGCAACATTGGTAACTTTATTTCTAAAGAAAACCCACATTTATAACAAATCCCTTACAAAGCTTGAAAAGTAAATAAATAAATAAATAAATAAATAAAATGAAAAAGAAATGAAAAAACAAACAAATGCAATTCAATTACCAACATCATAAACCTTCTTCTATGAACTATTAGTGTTTACACGAAATTATCTATTGCTCTATGCTACCATGAGTTCCATTCCACTAGAATTCATTTTTTAAAAAGCAAAGTTCATCCAAACTTGTCCATGGATTTTTGTGAACGAGTGACATATATTGCTTCAATGCCAAGCAGATGCCGATATGAGGTTCCGGTCTTTCCATCCCAATAGCATAGCCCCATCTTCTTCAACGAGTGTGTAATGCTCAGAGTAAGTCCCGAGGAGGCCTTTTATGACCGAATTAACATAAGAGCTAAGAGGAAACTGTTGAAACCCCGCCATGGTGAACCTCGATTTCCATTTCCCTAACATCTCATGTCGCTCCACCCTCTCTTTTCCCTCACAAGCAATAATGTTCACCAAGTCTCTTGCCAGGCAGTGCTGCTCAACATTGATGCGCTCCTTTTTGTCCCTTGCTAAGGCCACGTCTAGCGACTCGAACATGGCTGAGTAGTAATCCAGAGCTTCTTTGAACCTGGGAAAAAAGGGTGCCGTGTTGGTGTTTGATTCTTGCTCCACCAATGTAACCACCTTCGGAGACAGGGATTTCACCATCCTCAGAAGCCCGTCTCTTGGATTGCTGACATCGACGCTTTCATCAGGGGTGTGGTGGAGCTGTAGAGGGAAGTTTACTGCCAGAGACTCACCAGGCCGGACATCAAGCATGTCTCTTGTTATAAGTGTCGCAAAAACAGGAACAGCATGGAACTCTACTGGGACGCCGAACCTCTCAGATACGGCTGCAAGGCGTTTACCTACAGCAGCTAGACCATCGCCCCGGGCATGCCTAGAAACTGGATCGTCAATCCCTGTGATGCGCACGTGGGGGGGCCCACCAGGCCTTGCGGCGAGCGCTTGTAGGAGTGTCATCCATTGGGTCCCTTGTGCGATTTGGAAGTCTATTATATGAATGTGATCGTCGCTTCTGCATGCTCCGGCTATGGCACCATTTGCAGCCATGTAACCGAACTTTAGGTACGGGCATATCTCGTACAAGATGTGCATGTAGGACATTAGGTCCTTCCCTGCAGGCTCGTGGCATCTCAATGCCCGATAGATGTTGCTACCTGATGCCTCTTTCCTTGCAACTAGACCTTCAACCATGTAAGTCCCGAGGCGCTGGATGGGATCCCCTGAGATGGACACTACCCCACGCGCGTGCTCCACCAGTCTGTCAAAATCAGATAGTTTCTTCTCATCAAGTGCTCGCGCGCAGGCTATAAGCAGCCATTTGATATCATTAACAGGAGGAGGAGGAGCAAGAGACACCGGTGTTTCTTCAGGCGCCATCAAATCACTCTCCAACTGCCACAAAACATGTTCCATCTTCTGGGTGTGATTTGAACTGCCCCTGTTATAGTCCAGTGAAAGCTCACTAGTGGATCCAGAAAAACTTTGTGCAGAGAACTCCTCACTCTCAGTTAAAGCAGTTGGGGTCTGGGAATCGGTATAATTAGCAAAGGGCGAATTGGGAGAACCCCTCGAGCTCAACTTTGAGGAATCAAAAGGCGGTGTAGTTGGTAAGGACTGAATCATGGGGAATGAAGAGAGCGATAAATCGGCTCCTGTTCTGATGTGTGCAAAACAATGATGAGATTCCATGCTAGAGACAAGTTTGTGGATAGCAGCATGGGCTGCACCAGGCACAAATTGACTATTATCAAAATCAACATGAGACTACAAGTACAACATTGTCAAAGTCTATCTGTGTTCTATTGATTGAACCAAACTTAAAAGAATATGCAAATAAAATCAATTTAGTTCTACACACAAAAAACAACAACAATAGCATTGTCTTGAGAAGAAACATACCAAAACAACAAATAGTCCACCTTAAAGAACTTTGTATGACCAATCATCAATTTAGTGAGGAGTATTTATTTAGGCAAGATAAGGACCACATAAAATAATGATAATGCATTTGGCCCAAGAATCATGTTTGTCCCCAAAAATCTTTAAGAATCTGTTGTGCTAGAGTTTTCCATTATCAACAACTCAATTCAAAATGCCAAGAAAAACCAAACTACGATATCTCCTCTAACTTTATTGTGCTTTAGCTGGGCATGTACATTTTTTTATTAAAAATTGTATGATTGATACTCATGCAAAATGAAATTAGGACAAATCGTATGAATCAAGAAATGCTTTCTATAATTGGGGCATGCGAAAAAAAACATACTCCGTAATAAACTGTGAAGAGGGAGTACTAGATTAAGAATATATAAAGTGGTGAGTGAAAGTTTCTAGAAGCCCTGGTTTTAACATGTAATAACATAATCAAGGAGCATGCTGAAAGCTGAAATCATTACTTAATAAGTACGGGCAGAAGATCGAGCTACTCCCTCTCTCCCAATTATATCCATACTTTCTTCTCAAAATGAACTTCACACTTCTATCATATCCCTTTAAAGAAAAGATCATGCGGCTAACAAAAATCTTTCTTCAAAACAAATCCCTACCACCAATTTTTAACTTTTAACACTTTTCTTAAATTTCGTAAATCATAATGTGAATTTAATTATTCCAAACAAATTCTTACTACCCACTACTAGATTTTAAACACTTTCCTTAAATTTTATGAATCATACTGCGAATTTACCACCGTGCTAGTGTTTTTTTTGCCCCCATCAACTTTTCACGTTAAAAAAATGAAAAAAGAATACTCCACAGTTGATATTTACACATAAAAAAAGGAATCAAATAACCAAACATCTTCTTAGGAGAGATAGAAAAGCGAAAAAATATAGCACACAGAAACAAAAAAAAATCTAAATTAAGAGAAAAGTTTTTGATAGCTAAGATCAAAGACCAAACCCTAAAATATCTCCTCAATTAAATTAAGAAGCAATTCCTGCAAATATTTTCCCCTTGCAAAATAATAACTACTGATCCGGAAAGAAAATGTTGCAAAACACCAACTTACCTGGCCTTGCGGCAGAAAAGAACAGAACGGAGTTCAGCTGGGGGAGTTCGAGCTTTTTATGTGTCTATGACGGTGGGTTTGGGTCGGGTGTCCAGAAATGGGTTATCTTCTGTACATGGAAATGGAAATGTAAGGTTGTAGTTGAAGGGATCGGACAGAGGAAACGGATAGATAGATTCGTTTAATTTATACGAGTGTTGGCGACCGGAGAGAAGGGGTGTTTTTATAAGTTTTACGGAGTAATATGCTATATTGCCATCCATAAAATATTTAAAAAAAAGTTTTAATGTGGTTAAATTAATTTGGTAATAATTCGTGCAGAAAATATAACGACGAGTCTACCCCACACGTACGAGGACGGGGTCCCGAACTCCAGCGTTGAATTTGACGAATCCCCTGACGCATGAGAAGGGGAGGTTCCTAGTCGCCGACCACATGTTTCCATCTTGCCATTCTACATTTGATTATTTGAAGAACCATGCTAGATGTCCACTTAGAATAGAGCCTCGTTCTATAGCCACTGGATTCCAGTGGCCACGGAAGCCACTGCCTCCCTACGGAGCTTTGTTCATAAAATTGATGATTCCTACTCTCCTAATTCTCCCGGTAAATCCTCGCCAAATCTCAACCCAAACTAATCACCCCACCTACGTCAATTACACCTCGTAAGTATAAAGTCAAAACTTTTGACTTTAAAGTCAATTATACTTACGAAGTGCAATTGACGTAGGTGAGGTGATTAGTTTGGGTCGGGACTTGGCGGGGGGTTAACCGGGGGGTTAGGGAGGGTAGGAATCATCAATTTCATGAACGGAGATCCGTAAGGGGGCAGTGGCTTCCGTGGCCACTGGAATCCAGTGGTCATAGAACCGGGCTCCTTAGAATATACCTCGAATATACATCAAAATTATATATTAACATTTTGATAGTTTACATTGATACAATAAAAAAATCTACACTAGTATTTTTTGCATGTGTGGATCATCACTCTAGTATCAAACTGTCACAAAATGAAGATGTATACCTGCAATTTTCAACTTTAAGAATACAACTTAATTCTTAGGAAAATGCTAGGAGAGTAAATTTTATAATTGGTCCTTTATAACAGGGGGATTTCTCTATTTAGTCTTCTATTATCAAATATTACTCAAGTGGTCCTTCTTTTATGGGTACCTTTCCACAAATAGTCCTTTTCTTGATCTTCTATCATGTTGGTGTTAATTTGAGGGCTAAAAGTGTAATTTCACAATGATAATATATCTTTTTGTCATACACAATTCCAAAGGCTGTTCCGTTTGCGTCGTTTGTGAATTACAATCACTTTTTACGACAACTATAGTCTACAAATGTGATCTTTCGTCAGAATCCTAGCCCGCAATCATAGTTATTATTTTTGTGTTATCCGCTTAACCAACATCAAAACACGTCACTAGACATAATGTTGACGTCAAATTATACTTTTAGCCTTTAAATTAACACCAACACGGAAGAAGATAAAAAAAGACCATTTGTGGAAAGGTACCCTTAAAAAAGGACTACGGGGGTAATATTTGATAATAGAAGACTAAATATGGAAACCCCCCTGTTATAAAGGACCAATTATGGAATTTACTCAATGCTAGGAGTACACTAAAGGTATACCCTAAATATCCTCCATCCCCTCCATAACCATAAAAATTTACATGTAAAATTCAAAATAAATAAATAAAAACTAAATAAAAATAAATGTTAAAGAGGCAAGTTGTGTACAATTGAGGTACACCTTTAGTGTACTCCTAGCATCTCCCTAATTCTAATTTGAAACAATTGAAAACCTCTCCCCATTCCCCTCCTCGTTCATCTTTAGGTCAAGTTTTCATTCTCATATTTTTATATCAAACTAAAACACGTATAATGTTATTCTTCTTTCACCTCATCTCTCCATTTAATTTACAATATTCATTATTTTTATTTAAAAACTTATATAGGTTTAATAAAAATATTTATCTAGTAATAAAAATAGATAAATAATAATAATAAAATAATATTTTGTTTGAAAACATTTTAATTAATAGTGGAAATTAATAAAATAAAAAAATAAAGCAGCTCGCCATTTTCCGCACCACAAGCCCGCCCGTTGTAGATGCCCTTACCCAGATTAATTGTTTATGTAAGTCGTTGCAAAACATAAGGTCATGGTATACCCTAACACAACCACAACACATTAATCATTCCCAGCCTCAAAATGTTACGAAGTAATCAATTTAAATAATAAAAATACCTCCACACAAAAATGATTTACATATTTACTATTACGACTTTTTAATAACTTTTGTTCGTTTGCAAATTTTCAATTATCATTTGATTAAATAAAATAGTTTTGGCACCTCTTATTTAAAAAAAATTGTGTCATTTTTGAACATGTAAGTTTTTTCCCCAATTTATATATTCAATTATATTAAAAGTCACAGAATTTTGAACACCGTTTGAATAGTTAATATCATTTTGGTATACAGATTGTACAAAATTTTAGAATAAAAGTCCTAAATTTATTGTCTCAGTTTGACTTTACAAAATTTAAGAAAAAATTATTAAAAAATAAAAAAGTGAGTGGTTAAAATTTATTTAGAAGAAAGAAAAATCATATACACATATTCTTTACTATGTTTAGTTCTAGAAATTTGGAAAGAAAAGAAAAGAAAAGAAAATAATTTTCTCTCATTTTCCTCACCAAAATGGAGAAAATTGATTTCCATCCTCAGAGTAGTTTTGCTTTCTCGTTTTGTTATCCTTTCACTTCTATTTTCTCCTCTAACCAAACATGAAAAATTGTTTTCTCTCATTTTCTATTCTTCCTCCATTCAAATTCCTTTAACCAAATATAGTGTTAATTTATAAGGAAAGTAAAGAAGTAATATAATCTTTTCTGGACTGACTGGAAAAGTGTAACAACCCGAAAACTAGCTTAGTATTTAGCCATTGTTTTAATAAAAATAAATATAGTATTTATTTACTCTAAATTTCATGATTTGTGTGTTAATAATCTCACAAACATTAAAAATGGATTGAAAATTTGATCGCACTCTGTCTTTGTAGATTTTTCGACGCCAGACGGTAGCACGGTACCGTCTATACGGTAGCTGGCTATTAGATGTGGCTTCCCGCAACTCCCACAGATAAATGGTAGCTAGGTACCACCTAACGGTACCCACCTACCATTACAAGTCGATCGCCTCTTTCAGTCTTAGCACCTAGATGGTCGGGAGTACAAGACCGACGGTATCAGGGTACCGTGGCGATTCTAAGGTATCGTAACAGCTACCGTGTCAGACCCCCAATCGACTTTTATTTATTTTTTGTCCTGATTCGAATCCCGAATCAATTTCAAGGTCTTGTTTGTTGCTTGACGGTAAGTGGAAGGTGTTTACACATGGCACTAGGCTGCTAATTGTCAAGTTGTATGTTCATGAATTGTATTATGATTATGTATGAACTTGAATATGGAGAGCCTACCTAGCTAAACTGTAGGTAGATTGAGAAACAGAATAAGAATACAGTTAGGAATTACTGGTCATTTGATGAGCCGGCGTGCACGCATGATCAGTTGGGTACAACGTGCGCACGGAGGTTTTTTAGAGAAACTAATTATTTTTTCAATGATCGATAATCTGGTAATAATTCTTTTTCGATAATTCTCCATAAATGTTTTTTCAACATTAAAACAATTGTGAAAATAACATAACATTTTTTTCTCTGGAATGGTTTTTTTAGTTTTATAACTCACTACATTTTTTGTTGTATTGCAACTTTTTTTCATGAACGACACTTTGAAATGTTTGTCGATAATCCTCTATTACTTGTATTATTTTTTCTAAAAGGACACTACAAAACTTGTGTTTTTTTTCCGATAGTTCAGTACAATTTTTTTCCCCCAAAATTACAATCCAAAAGTTGTGAAAATGACGCAATATTTGATTCTCCAAGACGACACTAATTTTTTTATATAACTCACTATAACTTTTTTGCATTGCAATTTACTTCTCGAGCGATACTCTAAATTATTTTTTTGATAATTCAATATTAGATTTTCCCCTAAACAGAATACAAAATTTATAAATCGTTATATTTTTTATAAAAAATTGAGGCAAATCTCTAACAAGAGTGTGTTGTTATATTTTTAAAAACATAAATTTTAAATTAAAAATTTAAAAAAAATATTAATTTGCCTAAAATAGCCTGACCTTTCATTTATTTGCGAAAAAGAAGCATTTTCTAAAAAAATTATTAAGAGGCCATTGACTTCTTAACAGCGACATAAAAGTCGCAAACATGTGAAAAAGTGAAATTATTTCCAGTGACAGTGAATAGTGAGATTATATTTTTAAAAAAGCATAAAAATTTGGGGTAATTTAAGATACTTTTTTACAACCCTATAAGTTGAAGAATCCTCAATGAAAAATTCCTCACTATAGAGTTTAATTTTAGACGACTAAAAATCAATAAATGAGAAACACACTTCAGTCTCGTGGGGAGTCGCGGGTAGGCGGAGAAGTTGACTTTAGTAACACTCTGGTATGGCGAAATGATTTATGAATGTCTTTCATTTCTGTTGCTAATGCGAATTATGAATGTCTTTCAATTCGCAGTACTTCTGCTCTTCCAAAATCCCCGTTTAAGCATAGAGATCTGAAATAAATTAATAATGGAGAAGCCAGTGGAGAGCTTCCCCTTCCCCATACTCCTCGTGATCTCCTCCTGCCTTTTCCTCGTCCCCATCTCTGGACAAACCGACACCATAACCTCCTCCCAATCCCTCAAAGATGGGCAGACCACTGTCTCCTCATCAGGAACATTTGAGCTAGGATTCTTCAGTCCCCCAAATTCTTTGTATCGATATGTGGGAATATGGTACAAAGCCACTGACCGGACCCCCGTGTGGGTTGCAAATAGACAAGCCCCGCTGAGGAACAAGAACGGAATCCTGAGGATCATCCATCCTGCAGGAGTTCTGGCCATCCTCGACACTTCTAAACGAATCGTTTGGTCGACCAACGCCTCCACCCGGCCCGTGGTAAACCCAGTTGCAGAATTGCTGGAAACAGGGAATCTTGTTGTGAGGGATAGGGATGATGAGAACCCGGAGAATTTCGTATGGCAGAGCTTTTATTACCCTACTAACACCTTGCTGGCTGGCATGAAGCTCGGGAAGAACTTAACTTCCGGTCTTGAAATGTATCTGTCCTCGTGGAAGAGTGCAGACGATCCCTCCCCAGGGGATTACACGTATCACTGCGATAGCTCAGGGTATCCCCAGGATATCCTGAGAAAAGGGTCCAAAGTTGTGTACAGATCCGGGCCGTGGAATGGGCTTCATTGGAGCGGCGCACCTAACATGGTGAACAACACTATGACCTCATTCAATCTCGTTATGAATCAGGATGAGATTTACTACATATATGAGCTGGCCAACAAGTCTGTGATTTCCACCCTTGTGGTGAATCCTGACGGAGACACCGGGAGGCGGACATGGGTGGATAAAACCCGATCTTGGCAAAACTACCACTCCGTTAAGGCCGATGATTGCGACATGTACGGAATGTGCGGCGCGTATGGTACTTGCAACGTTCTTGATTCCCCCGTGTGCCGGTGTTTGGACAGATTCGTGCCCAGGCATCAAGAGGATTGGGAAAGGGCGGATTGGTCCGCGGGTTGTGTCCGGGAGGCCGCTCTGAATTGCACCGGGGATGGGTTTCTGAAATATGCTGGTGTCAAATTGCCCGACACAAATATTTCGCGCTACAATGAAACGATGTTGCTGGATGAATGTCAAAGTGTTTGTGCGAAGAACTGTTCGTGCATGGCGTATTCGAGCTTGGACATTCGGAATGGAGGGAGTGGGTGCTTGCTCTGGATGGGAGACTTAGTTGACACCCGACAGCTGTCTGAAGATGGACAAGAAATCTACATAAGAATGGCACACTCTGCCTTATTAGGTATGAACAAATTAAACATATATTGTCTCATTTTGTACTACTAGATAGTGGGAAGGGAGAATGAATTTTGTTGGATGGCTTATTCTGTAGGGGGGTCTGCAAAAACAAGTAGAAGACAGATCTTTACTGTGGGGTTGCCATTGATTATAGCTGCAGTTCTTGTATCCCTAGTATTTGGCACAGTCTTTTGTTTCAGGAAGAAAAGAATGACTCCAAAGATCACAAACAATGGTATGGCAGAAGAAGTGTGTTATTCTTTTGCAAGGGGAAATTATTATTTGTAAAAGAAATAAAAAAAACTGCTGCGTTGACTGTTCATAATCATGCCACTGCAGTTTTTGCTGCCCAAAACTACAAGGAATCAAGTGGTGGGAGACACACTGAAGATTTAGATCTGCCTCAGTTTGATCTCTATACATTAACTCTTGCCACAGACCAATTTTCAATATATAACAAGATTGGAGAAGGGGGCTTTGGACCTGTTTATAAGGTATGAGCTCAATATAATATTCAATTGTATACCTTATTTATTCACTAAAAAGAAAACTTCATTACAATGAAAAGGAAAACTTTGTTAAAATGAAAAAGAAACTGGTACATAGGCAGGCTGTGTACTGCCAGCATCTAAACTCCAAACAAACCAAAAACCAAAGGATTCCTATTGAATGAAAAGTCCCCAAACGGAGAACCGAAAACCAAAGGCACTGCACTTATCCTGGGAAAATAGAGGGAGACTTCAGAAAGTACACCGATCTGGCGCCTAAAGGCATGAATCATCTCTTTGAAAGAGGTCCAGGTGCATTTCTTCCTAGGTGTGAGGTACGCGTCCTTTTCCTCTCGAGCCTTATCCTTCATCTGTATCGTCTTCTAACTCCAGCTACAAGTAGCCAAAGCATTCTGCAAATTGTCCTACTGTATGAAATCCAAACTAGCCTGCTGCCCATTATTACTAAATATTCTTCTGCATGATCTTTACAACCCCAAGAACCCTATATTGTGCAGGTAAGTAAATTGACAAAACAACCCAACCCCAAAACCAATCTCCCATCAAACTCGATTACAAGTCTAACAAAATAAAACTGGAGCAATCTTGGCTTGGCCAGTTAGCATAGAAATAGGAAACAAAGCAAAAGTTGTTAGCATCAATAGAAGGCACCAATCCCTAGAAGTGAACAAATCCTTGACTTGAATAGAACGATCTTGGTCTCCATAAGTTGCTTAAGTAAAGAAATAATAAAGTGGGATTATAGTTCCCTGTATCCCCAAACTCTCCACATTCTCAACACTATTAACCCCCTCCCAAGTAGCCCTGGTTAATTGTAGAATCTTGAAATTGAACAACTTAATTCCATTAAACATAAAATAATTATTTAGAATAGCTACAAGAACATGACCTAACTATGGGCCCAATACTAATGAGCCCAATTAGACAAAACCCTAATACATTCTAATACTTCCGTTGAGAATGAGGATTGCGAATGAATAACTTGAACAGTAAAAATAAAACTACGGAAAAAAACTAGACTTGATTTGCTGCTGCAACGTACGAAGATGTCTAGCCAAGCAAAAGAACAACCAAAAATTGATGACGAATGACTCCCACGCGGAACGACTAACAAACGGACATAATGTTGACGTGTCGTATATACTGCTGGTTGCGACAACATACCAAAACGCAACCAAAAACTATGTCATCAATAAAGGCCATTAAACTAGTGAACGAAAAACTCAACTTGAAAACCTCTTCCGCAGATTGCACACAAAACAAAGCCAATATCCAATAAGGTTACATTACGGAGGATAATTGTTGCTGGATCTGGACAAAACCACACGACCAAAAAATTATGGCCACAACTTGAAGCATTGAAGCATATTTAGATAGCACGCAAACTTTGAAAATCTTTTGATGATGGCAGTCGGATGACGATCCACCGGCAAGGTGAGGACAAACGACCAGGTGGAGGGCTGCCAGATGACTAGGACAGCCATTGTAGATGAACGCCAATGTACACCATCCTAACTCGCATAACGGGCAGCTGACAATCTGAGTTGAGTACCGCTGAGCACGTATGTTTTTTTAACAGAACAAATCGGACAAACCCAATTGTTTTTTGGATTGAACGGATCGCCGCTAGAAGTTGTTTCACGACTAAACCTGCCGCAAGATCCAGGACGGAAAAAAAGGACAGGAGAACAAGGTAAAGGGAAATTAAACAACTTGATTTCATTATACATAAACCAACTACTTATAATATCTATAAGACCATGACCTAACTACGGGCCAATACTAACAAATCCAATAATCAAAAACCCTAATAATTTCTAATATTAATTTTCCAATATCTTTTAGAAGTTCCACCTTGTGAATTTATCCAATAAAAGTTTCTGGATTTTTCTTTAAAAGTAGTTAGAGTATCCCTAAGAATTAACCCAAGATAGATATCAAAAACCCCAATAACTCTATGCAAAAGATATCTCATCGTACAAGTTGTTTTCCGGGTGTTTTGATTCCCTTAAGTTTGGTTGTAAGTAGACCATTAAGTCAGACAAAAAAATGTGGAAACAAAGATGGTGACTGCTTAGAGTAATACACCCATAGTTTTCAGAACCGAACCGGTCAAGATACTGATTCACTGGTTTACTGGTTGAACTAGTGGTTCGAGTAGTTGGACCAGTGGTTCAAACATTTTTAATAAATAGATAAATATATATATATATATATATATATATATATACACACACACACACATTGTGGCATTGAATTAAAAAAACTAGTATATGATTAATAAAATAATATTTCCTTTAAAACCGGATCCGGTGTTAAAACCGGCCGGTTTCCTCCGGTTTTAACGGGTTTCCACCGGTTCACAGCATAATGCGGTCTGAATGCTCGGACCGACCGGTTTGGTGTCCGGTTCACCGGTTCCCGGTCCGAACCGGCCGGCCCGGTCCGGTTTTTTGTTTAAAAATGATAAAAATGATAAAAGTCCTATTTATATATATTTATATTACATATATTTTATAGTTTTTTACACGGAGTATTTATAGTATTCTAAAAATTGACAACACCGCCATGTTGGCGCCTTGACATCACATGATGGTATGTTATGGCGGGGGCTTGAGGCGACTTGACCATTTTTTTGTTTTTTTGTTTTGTAGATAAATTTTTTTAAACATATAAATTCAAAAAATGGAGTTTTTTTTAATACAATGCATTAAAAAAATAACAACGGACACCGAACTTTTTTTACAAAACATAAAAAAAAAATTACAACGGAATTTTCTTAATACAATACATAAAAAAATTATTAATCTTGAAAAAAAATAAAAATTACTCGTTGACATCTCAGTGTTTCCAAACATGCTCGATAAAATCTCCTTTAAGCATGTTATGTATTTTCCTACTTTCGACTTCCGCGCAAAAATGAGAAAGACTATCACGAGAGATTTTGTCTAACATCTGCAAATACTCGTCCCATGAATCGATACCGGTGCCATATACAAGTTGTCGGATAGCGCTTGTGCACTTTTGGAGCGAGGTGAATCCTTTCGCTCTTGTAACGTCTATCCTTTGTTGAAAAAGGAAAAAATGCTCCTCCATGTCGTTGACAATAGAATTGAATAAGTTGCGACTCATCTGGAAATGACGTTTAAATTGATTGTCGTTATACACCGGAGTTTCTAAAAAATAATCTTCAATCAGGTGTTGGTTGGTAGCATCACGGTCTCCTTTGATCCTTCTCGATCGGATTCATAAACTCTTGGGAAGAATTCTCATTAGAAATTGCTACGATAGTGTTTACTGTAGCTTCAACGGAACACAATTATCTTCATCAGAAGACAAGAAGTGGTTGTTTTCTTCATTGGAATTCTTTTCTTTTCTACGCAATACGTATAGTAGTGGATTTTTTTTGGGGGGAGGGGGGTGAGGTTCTCAATTCTCTCCACTCTATTTATACAAATTTTAAATAACGGTTAGATTCCAAAAAAATAAATTTTAAAGGGCTAGAAAGTCGTTGGAAACGTCAACATGCGGCGACTTCAGCGGGGCAACGCTCGTGGCTGCGGTCGAGCCCAGTACAAAACGCCACCATCATGCCTCAGGTGTTGCCATGGTNGGGGGGGGGGGGGCATTACCGACCAATCCACGGTGAAGGTAATGACCGATAACACATGGTTTAAGCTAGCGATGATTATAAGTGGAGAGTGGAAACTTTTAGGTGCCATAAAAATCTACCTCACAGATGAATAAACCTACATCTTAACGACCCAAGCTTGAGTGTTGCATTTGTTTCCCGCTTTATATCATATTTCCTTCGTCCCTAAAAGGCTTTCTTTTTTTTCTTGTCCCAAAATCTTTTTATCCTTTTTATTAAAAATCTACTTTTACCCCCACTAATTCTTATGTTACATATCACATCATGCCTTTTTACTAATAATATACCCATCACATTTCACTTTCATTCATCACATCAAGAGTTATTTTGGAAAGTCAGGACAAAAATATCATTTTTTTAAATCACATAGAAGTCAAAATGAGAATAACTTTTAAGAACAGAGGAAGTATGATTAAGTGAGTGATAATCAAGGAGAGTGATGCGTGTTCCATTCGTTTAAAATCCATCATTAGACTTAGATATTAATTTAATTGAAGTCTTCATTGTTAGAAAACATACATGGCCCAATAAGCGCTTTAGTGGGAAATTGGACCCGATGACTCACTTTTTTTAGAATATTAATATTTTTGAATTAAATGAAAGAGGTGTCCCTGATGAATATTGGAATATGCCCCGATTTAAAACTAAAAAATGCTCTCATCTAAAAAATGTAATCTATTCCACAATTCTTTAATTACATTTTGTTCTTTAACTTTATGCTTTAATCTTCTACTATATTAAGTACAAAGTCTCATTTTGTGGCTAACCTTCAATATTTTTTATACTTTCACCATCAAAATCCGGATAAAAGAGGAGGGATGTATTAGCTTTCGGCAACCAACATAAAACTTTGTCATATCATCATGACATGTAAACTGCCATCAAAGTTAATTCAACATTTTCTAGTTTATCTATTACTACCACATATTCCCAAACTAACGTGATGACTCCCTCCGTTTCTCAAAATGGTTCCTCTTTTGACTTTGGAGAAAAATAAGGAAGTGTTAAATTGTAGTTGACTTTCCAATTTTGCCCTTGATGTGATGGGTAAAAGTAAGATGTGATAGTTTAGTTGTTAGTGAAAAAGTATGATGTGATAGGTAGGGTATGAAAAAGTAGGGGTAAAAATGGTTTTTTGATAGAAAAGGGAAGTGTTTTAAGAAAAACAAAAAAATGAAAGAGGAAGGGTTTTAAGAAACGGAGGTAGTACTAAATATCAAAGCTGTACACACATAACATCTGCTTTTGCTGCAAAAATGCAAATTAGTACTCCCTCCGTCCTAAAATTAATTTCCCATTTGACTTTTCACGGTCTTCAATGCGGCACTTTGACCATTAATATCTTAATTTCTATATAAATATTTTTTATAAAAATTATATATTTCAAAACTATGTTTCAAAATGAATCTATTGCTAATAAATTTATATGAAAATTTAATTTATTTTTCTGTAATATACAGTCAAAGTTTAAAAAGTTTGACTACAAAAGTCAAACTGGGAAATTAATTTTAGGACGGAGGGAGTATTTGTATTTTTATTAATATTGCATTTGATTACAAAGAAGACAAGAAGGGCGTAATTCTAGAGGAAAAAATGTTTATGTTCCAAAATAACTTGTCTATTCTTATACTATGCATTTGTTTTGTCCCAATTAATGTTTATTACACATTTTCCTTATTAGGGAGTAGTTTAACTTATTACTTGAAATGCACGGAGTATTAAAAATTTCAATTATATTGGGATAGGATTTATAACCTCTTAGTGTTCTAAATTAAAGTTTATGCCTAGTATCTGATTAAAGAACAACTAATTATTTTTGTCAAAAGTATCACTCTTCATTTAGTGTTCCTCTCATTAATTATATTTTATTCTTTATTTGCCACTGAAGACATATTGATTTATTGTATGCTTTAGGGGGTGCTTGAAGGGGGACAAGAAATAGCAGTGAAACGCCTCTCTGAGGCATCAAAGCAAGGGCTTAGGGAGTTCAAGAATGAAGTCATCTGCATTGCCAAATTGCAGCATAGAAATCTTGTGAAACTTTTAGGATGCTGCATTCAAGGAGAAGAAACAATGCTGGTGTATGAATACATGCCTAATAGGAGCCTTGATATGTTCATTTTTGGTAAGCATTTTATATCAAAATGATGTTTTTTAGTGTTGATAAGCATTTTCCATCAAGAGCCTTGAACCAATGTTGGTGTATGAATACACGCCTAACTTCAGTTTCATATAGATAACCCAAAGCTATGCTTGAAACATTTTGACAGATGAAGAACGGAGTGGATTGCTTGATTGGCCTAAACGCTCTAACATTATCAATGGAATTGCACGGGGACTTATGTACCTTCATCAAGACTCGAGGTTGAGAATCATCCACAGAGATCTTAAAACTAGCAACATTTTGCTTGACATTGACATGAACCCAAAGATATCAAATTTTGGGATGGCTAGAAGTTTTGGAGGGAGTGAGACAGGAGCCAACACTGTACGCGTGGTGGGAACATAGTAAGACCAACCATACCTTTCCATTCAAAATTTGAAGACTGTTTATCCAATATCATTTATATGCATGTTGTGTTATCAACACTATCTAATAGGCATCTCCTAACATTTTGGGTGCAGCGGATATATGTCTCCAGAATATGCAATCGATGGGGTATTCTCAGTAAAATCAGATGTGTTTAGTTTTGGTGTCTTAGTATTAGAGATCATAAGCGGAAAAAAGAACAGACATTTTGTTCATCCAGACCACCATCTAAACCTCCTTGGACATGTAAGTATTATCACCATCTCTCCTAAATTTATTCAATACCCTCATCTAATGAATGATTACATCAAATATTGTAGGCATGGACACTTTATAACGAGAATAGATCATTGGGACTAGTTTATCCGAGACTCATTGTCTCATGTGATCCAGCCGAAGTGACTCGGTCAATCCACGTGGCTTTATTATGTGTCCAACAATCTCCAGAAGATAGACCAAATATGTCATCTGTAGTTTGGATGTTGAGCAATGAATGTATTCTACCAGAAGCCAAGCTGCCTGGATTTTTTACGGAGAGGCGTGTGGCTAGTACTGATGAACACTACTCTTGGAGCACGCAGAACCTAAGTTCTGTAAACGATATTACAATCACATTGTTGGATGCTCGATAGAAGTAAACTGGAACATGGTTAGGCCTTAAAACTGAGTATATCGAAAACTAATACTCCCTCTCCCTAAAAAATGGCGTAATTGATATTTTGGATTTTCGATAACTTTTGTTTGTGTATTATATTCTTTTTAATGGTCCATTTCATTAAATAAAAAAATCTTCCCACCACTAATTTTATAGAACTTTTGATGTTTTTTTAAATATGTAATTTTTATTTTTATCTTATTTTGTATTCTCCTGCTCTTCTGATAACAAAGTATTACAATTTTATTCGTCAAGGCCTCTAACCTCTTTCAAACTAGGTGTTTTTTTGTGAATCAACGAAATAATCAAATAATGAGTAAGTTAAGTTACTTAGCTATGTCTCCTCCCTTGTATAGGTGCACATTTATATTTTAATTAAACATATCATTTTTATTTGAGCTTTGTCTTTTTGTCCAAAAACTCTCGCTAAATTATTTTAAAATAGTCTCTTGTGCAACCATTAATCAATTCAGGGAGGTGTATATTGGAGAAATTCTACTTGAACTCTTACTCGATATTTCCTAGCTCATTGTTTTTTCCAAATTATCACTCACATTGTTTTGGGTTAATATTCCACTAGAGTTGTACAATTAGTAAACAATTTCGTAATTCATTTTTTATATCTCTTCAAATTGCTAATCTAGCATGTACACTAGCTAGGTTAGCTTTTTTTATAATTAGAATATTGTAAAAATTACATCTCACGATGGTCCTCATTCAAGAAGTGACCCTCTTTCTATTGACTTTACCCATAACGGTTCATTGGCCTATACTAGTTTAATAGCCAACCCTTTTTTTAACTTTGTATACAATCCACGGCTCTACGCTGCTTTTTTGTATGTTTCTTTTTTCTTATTCCTTTACATTAGACAAGAGTTTTTTTTCCTATTGACCATTCATATTATAACCTAAATAATCAATCGCTTAGACGTTATACTAACATCTCTTTGCAACCACATTTTTTGACATAATCCTAAGAGAAAATTTCGATAAGTATTTCACTTAATGTATTAACAGGCTCTCTCACATTAGAAGATGACTCAGGCTCCGTTCCGTTCAACTTATTTTTTTGATCTGATCTGATTTTTATAAGTTCTGATCTAATATGATCTGATCTGATTGGATCTGATCTGATCTGATCTGATTGGATCTGATCGGATCTGATCTAATCTGATCTGATTGGATCTGATCTGATCGGATCTGATCTGATCGGATTGGATCTGATGTGATCTGGTTTGGTCTGATCTGATTAATTATGATTTAATTTAAAATTTTTAATCAATAATTTGATTTGACTTTATAATAACGTTTGAAAATTGTAATGATAATTCATATTTTAATATAATCAATATTTTTTATTTAATGATTATTTTTTAATAAAATAAAAATAGTTAGAATAATCATTCATATTATAATGTAATAATATTTTTTATTTTATGATTATTTTTTGGTGAAATTAGAATATTAATTTAATATTTTAATAATTACTTCATATATACATTATAATAAATATTTAATTTAGATATACATTAAAAAGTAATTAAATTTTGATAATCAATATATAGAAGAGATAGTATTTTTATTAAAATATCTCATCCTTATAAAAGATCAAAACTTTAGAAACTCAAATTACAAGTAGCAATAAAAATATATTTTAAAAGTAGAATTAGATTGACATTGTCAATGTATTTTAAAAATAATTTTTTCGTCAATGTATTTTAAAACTAATTTTTCCAACGTCTAATAATTAAGGATTACTTTCTCAGTTTTCTATTTAACCTATTTCTAAAGTTTATTCTTTTTCATTTTTAAGAACAATACAAACAATAATAATAATAATAATGATGATGATGATGATGATGATAATAATAATAATAATGATAATAATAATAATAATAATAATCATAATAATCATAATAATAATAATAATAATAATAATAATTCTTGATGGGATTTGATTTTAATAAGTCCTGATCTGATCTAACCTGATCTGATTGGATCTGATCTGATCTGATTCGATCTGATTCGATTTGATCTGATCTGATCTGATTCGATCTGATCTGATCTGATTTGATTTGATCTGGTTTGATCTGATTTGATCTGATTTTAATAAGAATAAGAAAAAATAAGAAAAAATAAGTTGAACGGAACGGGGTCTTATTGTTTTCAAAATAAGTTTATCCATCTCTCCTTTTTCTTCTTGTGTAAGAAAATAATCCCCTTTTGTAAATAAAATGTTAGGGAAAAATATCACAACATATTTCACTAAAAAGAACTAACATGCTACCCTATCTTTTTGAAAGCCAATCTGGTAGTACATTATAACCCAACTATTATGAGAATAGTTGTCTATTATTTGTTTGTACAAGTAGTTGTACACTTTGAGATAAGTATTTTAAGTAACATTACAAACTTAAATTCTGAGAATTCTATACACTGTTAACATGTTTTCGAAAAAAAATCATCTTCATCAGTACTTGATATTTCTCTCAAATCGTTGTTGTTTTGTCAAGGCCTATTGTGCGGCATTGCAAAACGAATATTACTTCGTGATTCCATCCTTTTGCACTACCAAGAATAGTACTCCGTACGTGTATATATGAATTAGGGTGAGGAGGGTTGTTTCTTGCGAGAAAGGTTTAGTTCTAGGCGTATAGTTTGGCAAATTTCTAAGACTTTAGTGCATTAAAATCATAAAATAATTGGACCTTTTACAAAAAAGAAAATCTCAACTTGACAGCCTATGAAAAGCGGGAGAGATTCACATTTCACATGCAGACCGTTGGTACATGGAAGACCAACATGTAAAGTATAGGTTCATATTTTATTATTACTCCCTCCGTTCCATAAAACATTTCTCCTTTCATTTTTTTCGAATTCCGTAAAACACTTCCACTTTCTATTAAAAAATCACTTTTACCCCTACTTTTTCATACCCTACCTATCACATCATACTTTTTCACTAATAATCAAACTATCACATCTTACTTTTACCCATCACATCAGGGGAAAAATTAGAAAGTCAACCAAAATTACACTTTCCTTATTTTTGCCCAAAGTCAAAATGGGAAGTGTTTAAAGGAACGGAGGGAGTATATTATTATTATAAATTTATTTCATTTATTTATTCGATTGCAACGTATATTTTGTTCATAATTTTAATGCACAAGTCCGAACTTGACGAATAAATATATCGTTGCTAACCTTTTCACAAGATCTACCCAACAACACCAATATTGAATATGTTATTTTAACTCTATGACTTATACTTTTACGATAGAAAATAGTAAATAGCACACTTTACCCCCAATGCTTGCAAATTGGGTTCTGGTGGCGTTTTAGATTCTGATGGTAAAAACTAAAATTATGGTATGTTCAAAATATTGTCTTAAAACTTTAGTTTTTTGTCCGTCTAAATATGTGTGAGTCATTAATTAATCTTTTTTAATTAATGCTGATAAGCCCACAAAAGAAACACATATTATTTACTATATTAAAACAATTCATATCTTGGAATCACATTTGGAGAAAGTTCTCTAAAGTAATAGAGTATGTACTTGTTATTAAAATAATCAATCCAATACAACCAAATAATATTTACTTGTTTAAAAATAACAGCTAACTCATGAGAGGCTACGACCTCAAGCATCACTATGGGATGGCCGTGATCACCGCGTGTATATTGTCCACGACATGCGTTGGGACAAGTACGCCATGTCGCCACACCTAATGCATACAACAAATACTGTCTAACATGTCAGGAATCCATGTCGGGCTTGGTGTGCGGCGTAAAACACTTGCACGTCTTTCTTTGTGGGTTAGCTTAGATATTCTTTGTTGTATAATCTGATATACCATTTGAAATTATTGTACATGCATTCTTGTATCGTTCGGTTGGACATGCGCAGATACTCATCGAGTGAATCTACACTTGTACCAAACACAAATTATCGCAGCAGGTGCGTGTTTGTCGGGCATCATGTTGCAACGTAAAAAAAAGGTGTTGCACCCACCAAATTGCTTGCAATGCAGAGAAAAAGACGGTGACTCGTGCGAATCTTCGCTTGAACTGTTCGTCAATGAAGAACATGTTTTCAAAAATACAATTTGCAACTAGCCGGTCGTGGCCACCTACACATTAGTTTGAAAAAACTTAAAATAGTATTATAAAAAAATAAGGTAATTAATTCGTAATGCAAGATGAAAAGCATCAAGGAATACCAATTTGATCCCTTTTTAGGGCTATTCTTTTTCTTACGAAGTTCATCGTTTTGTTGTTGCTTCGTAAGAATTTGAACCGCTTGTGCCATTGAATTCATGAAAAAAGTTTCAGCTTCATTAGAATAACAAAACATCCACATTGTGGGAAGAAAAAAAGGTAAAAATTTAGAAGCGTAGTAGAGGAGATGGGTTGAGGGTGTGTGAAGGGAGTAGTGTGAGTGGGTTTAGATAATAGAAAAACAAAAATAATGGAACAGAAGTTCTATGGTCACGGGGGAAGGGGTGGTGTTCCCTCCCCATCATGCATTCAGGTGGCTGTCACGTAGGTCATCACGGCGCCTCATCGTTTCCCACACTACCCAACCGCCCAATCTAAGTAAACGGCGTTAAGTAGGATCAACATATGTTTGTTTACTAGCTTTATAAATTATAAACCTTGTTTCAATTCTAATCCCATTTGCACAACTTTTGATATAATAACACCTCGTGACTAGTATACTTCTCTTCTCTTGTTCGTTTGGGAAGTTCATGTATGCATCATGATAGTTTTTTCTGCATGACTTTCGTACTTTTGCTATCTTTAGATTTTTCAACCATTTGAGATAGATTTTTCAGAACGATTTCTCTATCCGTGTGGTATTTTGCAAAGAGTGTCAACACGACTTACGGAGTATTTTTGTTGAATTTTCTGCACCAAAACCTCTTTCGCCATATTTTGTAACAACATTTCTATTGCCCCTTGTCGTAAATGAGGTACTTAAAATGTAGGTATTTTTGTATATCTACATGAATACTTATTTTCGAGTTACTGAATATTTATTTTCGAATAATAGAATACTTATTTTTGTATAACAGAATGAGTAATTTACTTAAATAGCACTAAAACATAATGACTTTCCCTAAATAGCACTACATATGTTTTCCTTCCCAATATAGCACTTTTAGTCATTATGTATTAGTCATTATTCAAGTAAATATTCGCCATCACTGGACGTTATAGATATTATTAAGTGCTATTTAGGGAATAAACAATTTAAGTGATATTTAGGGAAATGACTTAAGTTTTAGTGCTATTTAATGCAAATATTTCTAACAGAATACTCATTTTCAAACATAACTGAATTTTAGAAAAATGAGTATCAGTTACTTGAAAATGAGTATCTCACTTTGTTTGCTTATTTTTACTACTAATTTTATAAAATAATATAATTTTGTCACGTCTAGTCTTGTAAAACTTTTTATGTAATCTTTACTATATAAATTTTATTTTTAAATTTTAATTACTTCTAGAATCGAATAAAATAAATTGAAAATAAATTCATTCAAATCTGGTAACTTATAATTGGAATATTTTTGGTGGTGCGAGGGAGGATGTGAATAGTTTTCCACCACAACGTGAACAGAGTTGAAGGGCGAATTGACCAACGTACGAAACGTACCAATATGCAACTGCAGGTCCAGTTTAGAGTTTAATTTTAGACGACCAATTGACCAAATCATTAAATGAGAATCGCACCTCAGTCTCGCAGGTCGGCGGGGAAGTTGACACTCTGCCATGCACCATTTTGTTGTTAATACGAATTAAGAATGTCTTTCAATTCTCCATTTCTCTAAGTCCCGCTTATACACAATGAGATCTCGCAAAGATTAATAATGGAGAAACCAGTGGAAACCTTCTCCTTCCCCATACTCCTCGTGATCATCAGCTGCCTTTTATTCCTCGTCCCCATCTCCGGACAAAGGGACACCATAACGTCCTCCTGATCCATCAAAGATGGGCAGACCATTCTCTCCTCGGTCGGAACGTTCAAGCTAGGATTCTTCAGTCCACCTAATTCCTTGAACCGGTACGTGGGAATATGGTACAAAGTCACCGACCAGACTCCCGTGTGGGTTGCCAACAGACAAGCCCCTTTGACAAGCACGACGGGAATCCTGAGGATTAACCATCCCAGAGGAACTCTCTCCCTCCTCGACTCTTCTTCCAACCAAACCCTTTGGTCCACCAACGCCTCCCCCCGGGCCGTCACAAATCCAGTCGCACAATTGCTGGAAACAGGGAATCTTGTCGTGAGGGAGAGGGATGATGAGAACCCGGAAAACTTCATCTGGCAGAGCTTTAATTACCCCACTAACACGTTGCTTGCTGGCATGAAGCACGGGAAAAACATGGCATCCGGCCTTGAAGTCTATCTGTCGTCGTGGAAGAGCCTTCAAGATCCCTCCCCTGGGGATTACACGTTTCACTGTGATAGCTCGCGGTATCCACAAGATATCTTGAGAAAAGGGTCCAAGGTTGTTTATAGAACCGGGCCGTGGAATGGCCTTCATTGGAGTGGGGTGCCTCACCTGGTGAACAATACTGTGACCTCGTTCAGCTTCGTTATGAACAAGGATGAGATATACTACATATATGAGCTGGTGAACAAGTCGGTGATTTCCACCCTTGTGGTGAATCCGGACGGGGACACCGGGAGGCAGATTTGGGTGGAGAAAACTTGGTCTTGGCAAACCTACCATTCAGTTAAAGCGGATGATTGCGATACGTATGGATTGTGCGGCGCGTATGGTACTTGCAACATTCTAGAATCCCCCGTGTGCCGGTGTTTGGACAAATTCGTGCCTAGGCATCAAGAGGATTGGGCAAGGGCGGATTGGTCCGCGGGTTGTGTTCGGGAGGCTCCTTTGAATTGCGCCGGGGATGGGTTTCTCAAGTACACCGGTGTCAAATTGCCCGACACGAATATTTCACGGTACAATGAAACGATGTCGCTGGATGAATGTGAGGGTGTTTGCGCGAGCAACTGTTCGTGTATGGCGTATTCGAGCTTGGACGTTAGGAATGGAGGGAGTGGGTGCTTGCTCTGGATGGGAGACTTAGTTGACACCCGGCAGCTGTCAGAAGGTGGACAAGAAATCTACATAAGAGTGGCACGCTCTGCCTTATTAGGTATGAACAGATTAAACATTTATATATTGTCTCATTTAGTACTACTAAATGCTGTGAAGGAAGAATGAATTCTGTTAGATGTCTTATTCTCTAGGGGGGTCCGCAAATACAAGTAAATTAAAAAGACAGATTGTAACTGTGGGGTTGCCATTGATTATAGCTACAGTTCTTGTATCCCTAGTATTTGGCTCAATCTTTCGCTTCAGGAAGAGAAGAATGACTCTGAAGTTCACAAACTACAAGGAATCAAGTGGTGGGAGACACACTGAAGATTTGGATCTGCCTCAGTTTGATCTCTATACATTAACTCTTGCCACAGACCAATTTTCAATACATAACAAGATTGGAGAAGGGGGCTTTGGACCTGTTTATAAGGTATGAGCTCAATACATTATATATATACCTTAATGGCGTTGCTGCTTGGAAAAATTAGTAAATATTTGATATATTTATTCATATATTCAAAAGACAACTTACCTGAAATGAAAAAGAAAACTTTACTAAAATGAAAAAGAAAATGGTACGCAGGCAGGCTGTGTACTTGCCCCACTCCAAGAAGCCAGTATCTAGACTCCAGAGAAACCAAAACCCAAAGGATTCCTATTGAATGAAAAGTCCCCAATGGGAGAACCGAAAACCAAAGGCAATACACTTATCCTGGTCTCCATCATTTCACGATTTGCATAAGTTAAAAAACTGGGAGTTCAGTTCCCTGTATCCCCAAACTCTTCACATTCTCAACGCTTTTAACCGCCTCCCAAGTAGCCCTGATTAATTTTCCAACATCTTTCAGAAGTACCCCCTTAATTGTGAATTTATCCAATAAAACTTTTTGGGTCAATTTTTTATGAAGAGTAGTTACAGTATCCTTCAAAACTAACCCAACATAGTTATCAAAAACCAGTTTCAATAACTCCTTCGCAAAGGATATTTCATCGCGCAGGTTGCTTTCCGGGTGTTTTGATTCCTAGAGTAATAAACCAGGTGGTAGACAAAGATGGTGACTGCTGTGTAGGTTGCTCAGAGTAATATACTTATGGATCAATAACCTCTTTTTTTTTATTACACCCATTGTAGCTTTCTACCAAACTTGGAGTGCACCGACATATCCTAATTTGGTCCATAGCTAAGAATAGCCCTTTCTTGAAAACTGTGAAGCTATACAACCAAATTATTTTACATAATCTTTACCTATATATAAATATACATCCTTTTCCTTGTAATCTCTGGAACAAAAGAAAATCGATTTCAATCCCCAACAATTCTTGGGTGTTTTTGCATCAAATGTTACGGCAATCAAAGATGAAAGTCTGCCCATTGCCAATATGGGAAGTAGACTCGACTCTAGCAAACTGACCCGGACCCGATAACCTGAACCGAATAACTTGGAACCGAACTCGAATTGACCCGAAAATTGAAGAACTGAAATAGAACCAAACACCCGAAATGATCCGATTCGATCTGAACTCGAACCCAATGTATTCAGACCCGATTCAGACCCGAATCCGATTAAACCCAAACCGATTAAACCCGAACCCGGTTAAACCCGAAACCGATTAGACCCGAAATTGATCAAATCCGTTAATATTTCATTTATCAAATGAATTTGGAGAAAAACGAATTACCTATATATTTTTACATATGTTGATGTGCTTCTAAAAAAACATATTTAAATTATGGGTGCAAACCATGTAACTACTTTCCTGTACAAATCTTTTACTTTGTATTTTATAACTTAAGTTAAAATATTTTTGTTTTTTTATAGAAAGTATATAAAAATTATAGTTAACTAAATTTATTATGTGATATTATTCATTTATTTGTATGTGTTTACATTATACTTGAACTAATATAAATTTAAACTAATATAAACTCAAATCTATATAAACCCAAATTTATATTAGTGTACTTTTATCAAATTTATATTCATACACAAAAACTAAAACTCAAATTTATAAAAGTACACTATTCACAAAGATTCGAAATGGCTCACAAAGAGAAAAAAGATGGCATTCAATGATCTTTGATTGTTTTTAGAGATCCATCCAAAATTTGAGAATTTGATTATGATGAAATCAAATATGAGAAGATTGGATGGATCTAATTTTTGGAGGATATCTCATTGGTGTAAATTAAATACAAAAAGAAAAAATACCTAGAATCTATACATGGCATGTATAAGGGTGGGAGACGGATGCTACAATCAAGTTTTCTTGTCTTGGAGGTAGTCTTAGTGTTTTAAATTAAAGTTTATTCTAAGTAGTTGATTAAATGAAAACAACTTATTTTTATCAAAAGTATCACTCTTCATTTAATGTGCCCCTTGTAAAAGAGAGTTACATAGTTGTATGTGGTGATGACACGTGTCATGCCATACGTGCATACTACTGACATGTGTCATGCCACATGTAAATTACAAGACACGTGTCATTCCACACATGCATATTTAATTTTCTATTAAATCATTATTTTTATTATATTTTATAAACCCGTCACTTTCTAACAGTAAAAAATCCTTATGTTTGTTCATTTTTATAAAATTTTCCCTTTCGAACTATTTTAAAAATATTTTTTTTAATTGTTTTAACCTATTTTTTAAATATGCACGACTATTTTATGATATTAAACAAATTATACAAAATTTATTAATTAAAAAAACAATGTTTCTTATAATTTTTAAAATTATCCATCATCTCAAAAGAAACTATTACTATATACAAATTTTCTCACACATGCATCTTTATTAAGTTCATCACATATTTTAATCATTTGTCTTATTACATTATTTATTTTATTACATATTTTTTAGCAAATTAAATAAAATGAAAGTTTAATTGATGGATTACATGTGGCACATGACAGATATGCATTCTCTAATGATGTGTCATTACTTAATTGATTTATTTGACATTTTTATTTTAATTGTTATTCATTAAAACGATTTTCATTATTTTTTATTTGATGACCATTACATTTGTATAAAAATTTAAAATAATTATAAATTATTTATTAAACACATCATATATCATTAATAAAGAATTTAAAATAAATGATATTTTATTTTTAGATGTCAAAATTTAGAATATATGTGAGCCCGTGCGAAGCACGGGGTTAATACTAGTTATTTTTTATTCTTTATCCACTGCTGAAGATATATTAACTTGTTGTATGTTTTAGGTGGTGCTTGAAGGGGGACAAGAAATAGCGGTGAAACGCCTCTCTGAGGCATCAAAGCAAGGGCTTAGGGAGTTCAAGAACGAAGTAATTTGCATTGCCAAATTACAGCATAGGAATCTAGTGAAACTTTTAGGATGCTGCATTCAAGGAGAAGAAACAATATTGGTGTATGAATATATGCCTAACAAGAGCCTTGACATGTTCATTTTTGGTAAGAATTTTCTATCAAAACAATGTTCATCAGTTTTGATAAGCATTTTCCATCTAGACCTTGGAACAATGTTATCGTATGAATACATGCCTAACTTCAGTTTCATACAGACCACCCAAAGTTATGCTTAAAACATTTTGACAGATGAAGAACGGAGTGGATTGCTTGATTGGCCTAAACGGTCTAACATTATCAATGGAATTGCACGGGGACTTATGTACCTCCATCAAGACTCAAGGCTGAGAATCATCCATAGAGATCTTAAAACTAGCAACATTTTGCTTGACATTGACATGAACCCAAAGATATCAGATTTTGGGATGGCTAGAAGTTTTGGAGGGAGTGAGATAGGGGCCAACACTATGCGTGTGGTGGGAACATAGTAAGACGAAAAATACATTTTCTTTCAAAATTGAAAAACTCTTTATCCAAATATCGTTTATATGCATGTTGTGTTATCAACACTATCTAATATGCCTCACCAACCCTTGGAGTGCAGCGGATACATGTCTCCAGAATATGCAATTGATGGGATATTCTCAATAAAATCAGATGTGTTTAGTTTTGGTGTCTTAGTATTAGAGATCATAAGTGGCAAAAAGAACAGACATTTTGTTCATCCAGACCACCACCTAAACCTCCTTGGACATGTAAGTATTGTCACCATCTCGCCTAAGTTTATTTAATACCCTCATCTAATAATTAATTACATCAAATATTGTAGACATGGACACTTTATAACAACAATAGATCTTTGGAACTAGTTGATCGAAGACTCATTGTCTCATGTGATCCAGCCAAATTAAAGTGACTCGATGGATCCACGTGGCTCTATTATGTGTCCAACAATCTCCAGATGATAGACCAAATATGTCATCTGTAGTTTGTAGTTTGGATGTTGAGCAATGAATGTGTTCTACCAGAAGCCAAGTTGCCGGGATTTTTTACGGAGAGGCGCGTGGCTAGTACTGATGAACACTACTCTTGGAGCACGCAGAACCCAAGTTCTATAAATGATATTTCAATCACATTGTTGGATGCTCGATAGAAGTAAACAAGAACATGATTCAGCCTTTAAACTGAGTGTATCAAAAACTAATTCTCCTTCTGTCCTTAAAAAGTTATGCTAATTACTACTTTGGATTTCTGATAACTCTTATTTGCATATGATTTTTCATGGTCCATTTGATAAAATAAGATATTCTCCTTACCGCACATTTTATAGAAGTTTTGATGTTCTTTTTTGTATTTGTAACTTTACAAATATGTAAATAAAATTAATTTAAAAGAGACGATATTCTAGACAGTGTTTAAAATATGGTAGTTTTTTAGGGACAGAGGGGGTATTTTATCAATGATCATCTTGCGAAGGAATGTTGGGAATGATAGGGATAATAGGAAACTAATGTCATCACTAATTATTTTTCTTATTTTATTGCTTCTATAATTGTTATTCTACTATGTTTTGGATTCTTTCTTTTAGTATTTCTTATATATAGAGATGAAACATTTATTATTTTATAAGACCAATTAATATCAAATGATATCACTTATCTCTAAAAATAATATTGTTAAACATTATCATTATATAGTCTTGTTCAAAATGGCAACCACACTTGACAGCACACCAAATGTGCCAACACACAACTTGCAACACTCCTCCTCGAGGACTAGTATACAATTTAATTTTTGAAAATGCTAGAGTCACAAGCAAATAGTTCACAAACTTTACAAACTTTCTTTTTGTAGATTTTAAGTTAAAATATCTTTTATTATTTGGGTGCATCTTATATCTAGAAAATGTTAAAAAGAAAAGTTTGTGAATTTTGTAAACTGTTTGTTTGTGACTCTAGCATTACTCTTTAATGTTAGAGGTAAGTGATACCGGGTCACTTGAAAATTTATCCCAAGGATCATCCAATTGACCAAGTCAACAAATGAGAAACGTACTTTAGTCTCGCAGGAGCCGGGAAGGCGCGGATCCAAGTTGACTTGCTTACCTCTTTTCATCTTTCAATTATTCGTGATTCCCAAAGAGATCTGGCCGGCAAAGAGTGATAATGGAAAAGCCTGCGGAAAGCTTCCCGATCCTACCCCTCATCCTGATCTCCGCCTGGCTTTTCCTGGTCCCTATCTCCGGGCAAAGTGACACCATAACTTCCTCCCAATTCATAAAAGATGGGCAGACCATTGTCTCCTCGGCCGGAACATTCGAGCTAGGATTCTTCAGTCCACCAAATTCTTTGAATCGATATGTGGGGATATGGTACAAAGCCACTGACCGGACTCCCGTGTGGGTTGCAAATAGACAAGCCCCGCTGAAAAACAAGAATGGAATCATAAGGACCATCCTTCCTGCAGGAGTTCTGGCCATCCTCGACACTTCTTCCAATCGAACCCTTTGGTCCACCGACGCCTCCCCTCGGCCCGTCATGAATCCAGTTGCACAATTGCTGGAAACAGGGAATCTTGTTGTGAGGGAGAGAGACGATGAGAACCCGGAAAATTTCATCTGGCAGAGCTTTAATTACCCGACTAACATGTTGCTTGCTGGCATGAAGTTGGGGAAGAACATGGCATCAGGCCTTGAAGCCTATCTGTCGTCGTGGAAGAGCGTTGAAGACCCCTCCCCTGGGGATTACACGTTTCACTGCGATAGCTCGGGGTATCCGCAGGATATCCTGAGAAAAGGGTCCAAGGTTGTTTACCGAACGGGGCCGTGGAATGGCCTTCGTTGGAGTGGGGCACCTAACATGGTCAACAATAGTTTGATCTCATTCAGACTTGTTAAGAACAAGGATGCGACTTACTACTACACATATGAGCTGGTCAACAAATCGTTGATTTCCACCCTGGTGGTGAATCCCGACGGAGACACCGGGAGGCGGACTTGGGTGGAGAAAACCCGGTCTTGGCAAACCTACCACTCATTCAAAGCGGATGATTGCGATACGTACGGATTGTGCGGCGCATATGGTACTTGCAACGTTCTTGAATCCCCCGTGTGCCATTGTTTGGACAAATTCGTGCCCAGGCATCAAGAGGATTGGGACAGGGCGGATTGGTCCGCAGGTTGTGTTCGGGAGGCCGCTCTGAATTGCACCGGGGATGGGTTTCTCAAGTACACCGGTGTCAAATTGCCCGACACGAATATTTCGCGGTACAATGAAACGATGTCGCTGGATGAATGTGAAAGTGTTTGCGCGAAGAACTGTTCGTGTATGGCGTATTCGAGCTTGAGCATTCGAAATGGAGGGAGTGGGTGCTTGCTTTGGATGGGGGACTTGGTTGACACCCGACAGCTATCCCAAGGTGGACAAGAGATCTACATAAGAATGGCACACTCTGCCTTATTACTAGGTAAGAAAGAACAAACACCATATTGTCTCACTTAGTAGTATGTACTATGTAGTATTAATATATTTATGTTGGGAGGGAAAACAGTGAAATTTTTTTTGGATGGCATATTCTGTAGAGGGATCTACACAAAGAAAAACAAGGAGAAGAAGAAGAAAAATAATTACTGTGGGGTTGCCATTGACTTTAGTTGCAGCTCTTGTAGCCATAGTATTTGGCACAATCTTTTGTTTGAAGAAGAGAAGAATGTCTCCAGAGACTACAAAGAATGGTATGGCAGTAGTGTGTTTTGTTCACAAAGTATCAGATCTTTATGTACTCAATGTATACTAATACGGAGTATACGTAGTATGAACATTCTACCGTACGTATTATGCTGCAGTTTTTGCTGCCCACAATTACAAGGAATCCAGTGGAGGGACACACGGTGAAGATTTGGATCTGCCTCAGTTTGATCTCTATACATTAACTCTTGCCACAGACCAATTTTCAATACATAACAAGATTGGAGAAGGGGGCTTTGGACCTGTTTATAAGGTATGAGCTCATTACCTTATTCAAGTAAATATTCGTCATCAATGGACATTATGAACATTATTAAGTACTATTTAGAAAATGAAACTATTTAAGTGCTATTTAGAGAAATGACTTAAGTTTTAGTGCTATTTAGTGCAAATATTTCTACAATATACTCCCTCCCTCCAAAGGCATCGTTCGGTTCAATTTATTTTTTCTGCTTATTACTTATTTTTATTAAAATCAGATCAGATCTTATCATATCAAATCAGACCGAATCGCATCTAATCAGATCAAGCCAGATCAGATCAGGTTCAAATTCTACAATTTCGGATTTCAATTATTTTTTAAAAATATAAAACTTACACTATTAAATTCAACATTTTCGTATAGTATTTTGACTTAATTTGTTAATTAAGAGTCTAAATTTAATATACTTGGCTAATATAATTAATATTCATCAAGTAATAGACATAATTGTTTTCAAACCAAGGTCTGTTTTCTTCCATTTCATTTTATGTTTTACATACGGTAATCAACAAACAACTAAGTTTATATTATATTTTCCATAATTTAGTCAAAAGTCACACTTAAATTTTAATGCGCATGTGTGGCATCACACGTGTTGTATGGAACACATAAGACATTTTCCTTTACAAAAAAACTCTTGAAGTTTTATTTCATAAAAAAATAAAATAACATAAATAATGTAGTTTGTTTAAAAAATCTATGATTAAATTAAAATGGAAATACATATTAAAAAAGAATGAGAGTGCAAATGTATATAAACGAAATAAAGTAAATGGTGTATAGGTTCAAAAATTTATAAGTAATTTTATTTTTAAAAATTATAAAATATTTAATTTATAACATTTTTAAATAATGATTTAATGCTTTGTACTAAAAACATGTGTTATCATGATGAAAATATAATAAAAAAGAATGATTATTTTAGTTAGAAATTAGTAAGATTTTATATAAAAAAAATGAAAATAATGATTATTAGTATCAAGTGTAATATTCATGTAAAATACAAAAATATAGCAAGAGAAAGGTTTATAAACATATTGATCACTTATTTTATATGTGTGGGTAGCATTACATACTCCGTATGACACATGGAATAAAGGTGTCATTTTACTAATTTTTTATAAAAATTTTATGAAATAATTATATAAAAACATATATAGTTTTACAAAAATATAAAATCTACATAAAATTTGAAAGGAACAACTTAATTTAAATCGCACTACATTGGCGTAAAGAGACACATATATAATAAAGTATGATGAAAAATTCTAAAATAAATTATATAGCTAATAAAGATGTATATGCGAGAAAGTTTATACTAAAGTTTGAATTAAACAATGTAGTTAATAAAGATGCATAGGGATAAATGTATGTAATTGTTTTTAGAAATACTCCGTAATAGAAAAAAAGTATACCGTGCATAGTTTTAAAATTTATATACAATGTTTTTTTTCAATTAATAAAGTTTATATTATTTTTTTAAATAACTACATGCTTATGCATATTTAAAAAATATGTTGTCATAATGAAATGGATATCTTTTAAATACTTTGAAAGTGAAGGGCATTATAAAAGTTTAATTAAAGAATTTTATTTAATACGGAGTATTAAAAAGTGAAGGGTATAGAAAATTTGTTTAGGAAATTTTAAAAAAATTAAATATTGCGTGTATATTTTTTATATTATATAATCATGTGTCTTTTCATTTTTTTCACTCTCTTAATTAAATTCCTCATTTATATAATAATAAGTGACATAAAGTTGATTAAAATAAAATTTAGTGGCATGTCATGGCATGATGTGGCAGCACATTTGGCAATAAAAATGATGACGTGGCATGACACATGTCGCAATGGCAATTAATCCGCTCAACTTTATATATGATATACGTAGTATATGATATGATATGATTATTATGATTATAATTATTATTACTATTGTTATTATTATTATTACTATTATTATTACTATTAATATTAACATTATTATTATTAATAGTATTTTACTATTATTATTATTATTACTATTACTACTACTATTATTAATATTGATATTAATATTATTATTATGTTTATAATTATTATTACTATTTTTATTACTACTATTCTTATTACTATTAGTATTGTTATTATCATTAATATTATTAATATTTCTATGATTATTATTATTTTATTACTATTCTTATTATTATGGTTAATATTATTGCAATTATCATTACCATTATTATTTTAACTATTATTTTTTTATTACTATTATTATTATTACTACTATCACGATTATTATGATTATGATTATAATTATTATTACTATTTTTATTATAATCTTTACTATTATTATTATTATTTCTATTATTATTACTAGTATTATTATTATAGTTATTATTATTACTATTTTTATTACTATTTTTCATCTTATTATTACTATTATTATTAATATTTCTTTTATTATTATTATTACTATTATTATAACTATTATAATGAGATTAGATGCATTTAGATTAGACCATATCAGATCAGATTCAATCAGATCAGATCAAACTAGATTAGGTTAGAACTTCAAAAAATTAGATCAGGTTAGATCAGGCGAACGGAACGTAGCCTAAAACGTTCTTCCCAATTACGTAGTATTACTCACACGGTCAAACATTAATAACTTTCTTTACCTATTTTCGTTCGTTATTTGATACTCCGTAAAATAATGTAGTCTTGTCACTTCTTGTTTCGTACTCCCCACGTCTTGAATTAGATTATAATCATCTTTTCTCTCAATAAATTTTATTTATTTAGGTGTTTTCATTGAATATTCGATAAAATAAAATATTTTGGTCATCTCTCGTTTTGTAGAACTTTTGACGTAGTTTTTTAATATGTAATTTTTATTTCTTATTTATGTACCAATTTTTAAATAAAATAATTTCAAAAGACAAGAGATTTTGCCTCGTAACTCTCAATTTGTAATCAAATTAGGGATAGAACTTCTGATGTAATTTTTAAAAATATAAATTTTATTTTTTAATTTTACACCTACAATCAAATAAATTAAATAAAAAATAAAGTTGGTCAAATCTCATAAATAAAAATAGAAAAAAAATTTAGGACGGAAGGAGTAATCTGGAATATTTTTTTCCTTTGATGGTTAATGGGGAATATTTATTCTAACAGAAATTATCGGGAACAAAAAATTCTGTTATCTTTAAAATAAAAACGACAGAGATTATCCCATTTTAGCTGGGTATTTCAAGCTGGGTCATCAAATTTATTGTTCAAAATCCAATATTTATAAGTCAGGTTTCGGGTCAAAGAATAGTTGGTCAAGTCTTACATTCATTTATTTGTTTTTATTTTATTACTTTAGCATCATTGTTAATTCGACATTTTGTACTTTATGTATTAACTAGTTTACTACCACATATTCCAAAGTTAACGTGTTGAAGTTCCAATTACTACTCCGTTAGTATCAAAATCTTACACGATTAAAATTGAAATATGCTCGTGTTCTAAAATTAAGAATAATGCCTATTTTCCGAAATCCGAATAACGCTTGTTCGTGTGTGGTGGAGTGAAATTGTTGGATTATCTTTCCAAATTATTTTTTAGGGAAAAGGACCAAACTAGGAGTAAAAGTTATGCAATATTCTTAAATAGGAACTAAAACTTAAACTCCTCTAAATAAGAATAATTAATTAATTTTTGTCCTCAATTCTCTCTTCTCAAGCTCTCTCCTCTTCGTTGTTTTTTTTTGCTTGCATGCGTGTGTAGTTACACACTTAAAAGGGGGCTGGGCATTAGGCCATTAGGACACTGATTAAAAGGGGGTAGGAATTAGAATAGATTAGGACACTGATTATTTATTATTATTATTATTATATTATAAAATATTTATATTTATTTATTAAATTATAACATCTATTTTACACATAACTTTTTACACCAAATTTTAAACTTAACAAACTTTATGCTATTAGTCACCTTTTTACGAGATCAACCCAATTACCTATTTTTTAAATTAAAAGGTTGGCTTTACAAATAGTTTATGTTTTCGAGTCAGAAAATAAAATAGGACATTATATTTATTTTTTTTATCAAAATAACAGCTAACTACTAAGCTGGCTAATTTTTTTTACCCAAAGTTAAAATATTGTCAATAAATGTTCTTTTAACTACATCGTCAAGGGACGACAACAAAATCACACCCAAAGCTCAGTACCATAAACAAATATGGTTATTTCTACCTTGCTCCTGATATATTTATATGTGTATCCTAATTCACAACTCAAATATTCTGATTTGATGATTTGACATTCTTAGGAATAGAAAAAAAACTTGATAAACATGACCTTGCCTCAAGCCCATAAAATGTCAAACAAGACCACATTTAATGCCAAAATTCTTAATCAATAAATCTATGAGACTTGATTAATACCTTTTAGATATATATCAAAATTCTTAAACAATAAATAGAAACTTAGTAAATTATTACAGTAAAATGTATATACAGTATCAAACAAGACTACATTTAACGCCACACATAGCCGCATAATGACAATCATGTCATTGTATAAAGTCATACATGCAAATGCATAATGCTAAACCAAGAGATAATGCCAAATATGACAATATATAGTGGCACATTTGGCAATGTATAATGACAGATATGCCAATGTATAATTTTACATATAACACATATGTTAATGCATAATCTCAAAAAAGTTAAACATCAAGAAAACTCTATTTGCCAACACAATAATCATTTAGTTTCAATATTTATTTTACAAAATAATTTTCTAAGAAGTAAAATTAGATTTAAAACCAAATGTCACAACCTATGTGAAATTGAATATAAAATTAATTAAAAGTTTCAAACTCACGCAAGGATAAAAGAATTAGTACCAATTTTACAAAATAATTCCCGAAAACGTAAATTTTTAGATTTACAATTGAATTTAACTACTTATGTCAAGTTAAATATCAAATTGAATTCAAACTTACCTAAGGGGACGGAGTCATCCGAGCGATGAAAATAGAAATGATGGAGAGGGATGGAAGAAGATTGTGTGTATGAGAGAAAAGGAGATGATGAAGAGTGCGGTGGAATCATTATCGCATAGAGAAGATGATACCGGCGGAGAAGAGATTGAGATTAAGTTGACAGCATCAGCAACTGAGATTAAAATGAGGGAGATCGTAGAAGGATGAGATTGGGAAGGGGCCGAGTGACTTTTTCGACCGCATAGGGCTAGGATGTGGTGTGATTAGTGCGAAAGAATATATCAAAACAAAATTTAATTAATTACTCCTATTTAGAGGAGTTTAAGTTTGAACTCCTATTTTGAGGATATGATATATATTTTACTCCTATTTAGGGGGTTTTCTTTATTTTTTAATGGTGTAAAATACACTCTTTATTTTTCAAAATTTACAAAAACTTTTGTTTATTCATAAAGCTAAGATATATTTTTTCAACTCTTGTTTTCTTTAATTTTTGACATAATTTTAGATATGTAAGTTTTATTTTTAATTTTTATACTAATTTTTAAGTAAAATAATTTTAAAAAGATTGAAATTTTTTTTGTTTTGTATAAAGTGTAAAATATTTTAGGAAATACTAGTATAATTTTATATGAAGACGAGAAGTGTTTAAATCTCAAAGAAAAAACTCTCAATGTTTTAAAATAACTTGTGTGTTTTTATATTTTGTCGCAAACAATGGGTTTGTTCTATATTTGCCTTACTAGGAGTAATACAACATAACTTATTAGTTGAGATTTGTTTAAAAAATTCAATTATCAATCCAAGAAATTTAACTTTCAATTGTTTATGCATAGTGGTTAATTAAAGGACACCCAATTTGTTTTCTCATAAGTACAACCCTTTTTTTCTCATAAGTATCACTCTTAACTTATTGTGCCTCAAGTGATTTGTTATTCTGCATCCGCCAATAAACACATATTGACTTTTTATATGTTTTAGGGGGTCCTCAAAGGAGGACAAGAAATAGCGGTGAAACGACTCTCTGAGGCATCAAAGCAAGGGCTTAGGGAGTTCAGGAACGAAGTAATCTGCATAACAAAATTGCAGCATAGAAATCTAGTGAAACTTTTAGGATGTTGCATTCAAGGAGTAGAAACAATGTTGGTGTATGAATATATGCCTAACAAGAGCCTTGATTTGTTTATTTTTGGTAAGCATTTTCCATCAAAATGATGTTATTCTTCAAGATAAGTTTACTTTCATTTTCACATATTGGTGTTGCGATTAAAACATTATGACAGATGAAAAGCGGAGTGGATTGCTTGATTGGCCCAAACGCTTTAACATCATCAATGGGATTGCACGTGGACTTGTGTATCTTCATCAAGACTCGAGATTGAGAATCATCCATAGAGACTTAAAAACTAGCAACATTTTACTTGATATTGATATGAACCCAAAGATCTCAGATTTTGGGATGGCTAGATGTTTTAGAGGGAGCGAAACAGGAGCTAACACTATGCGCGTGGTGGGAACATAGTAAGACTCTCACATGTAACGTCATGTATATGCATATTGTGCTATCTATGATCAATATCTAATTTGTCTCATCAACACTTTGGTTTGGTGTAGTGGATATATGTCTCCAGAATATGCAGTTGACGGGATATTCTCAGTAAAATCAGATGTCTTTAGTTTTGGTGTCTTAGTATTAGAGATCATAAGCGGCAAGAGGAACAGACACTTTGTTCATCCAGACCACCACCTAAACCTCCTTGGACATGTAAGTATTATCACCATCTTCACCTAAATCTTTTAAACCTCAATCTAATGACCAATTATATCAAATGTTGTAGGCATGGACACTTTATAAGGATAATAGATCATTGGATCTAATCGATCCGAGACTCATTGGCTCATGTGATCTCACCGAAGTGACTCGATCGATCCACATAGCTCTATTGTGTGTGCAACAATCTCCAGATGATAGACCAAACATGCCCTCTGTTGTTTGGAAATTGAGCAATGAGGGTGTTCTACCAGAAGCCAAATTGCCTGGATTTTTTACAGAGAGGCGCGTGGCTAGTACTGATGAACATTATTCTTGGAGAACTCAGAACCTAAGTTCTATAAATGACGTTACCATCACATTGTTGGATGCTAGATAGAACTAAACAAGAGCATGGTCAGGGTTTTGAAAAGAGGCTATTTAATATTTAATACTTCATCACTCGAGAAGAAGAACAAGGGTAGTGTGTGAAAATTCATTTTAGTCATAATTTTGTGGCACGGGTGATTATGGAAGCTTTATCAAGTACAATATATGAAATAGAAATTATGAAGAATAAAAATAACACAAAACGTGTAGTACTATATAATGTAAAGTGTGATAAGCTAAATTAAAATGGATATCAGGCTTAACATTTACAAATGTTGAACATTTTCAATTAGTCACATACTCTCTCTATTCAAAAATTATTTTCTTGTTTTTGTTCACTAGAATCTTACCCGTGCGTTGCACGGCAAGTATTTCATTACAGAATGATATTAAAAATATTATAGTATCACTATAAATTGAGAAACACTTCTTTATAAACAATATTAGTAGTAGATTTCATAAAAAAAATATTAATATTACATTGCACGCGCACATTGCCTTCAATGCAAAATGAAAATTTGATCTACTATCATTCGTAATTTTTGAAGTTTTAACGTAGAGTTGGTTGTTACCGAATATAGTCTTTAGAAAAACCTAAAGGTACCAGGTGTACACCAGCTTCTAAGAGACACGCACAATGCGTGTCTCTATGTGTCTCTGGGTATACACCTGGGGTACTTCAACTTGGGTACTCCTAGCAAATTAAAACCCAGTCTTTTTCAACAATAGTCCCAAATGTAATTGATCTCGAAAATTTATAATGGTCCAAATCAATATATTAAAGAACTCTTTCTCAATTATATTCCAAGTGATCGATCTTGAAAGTTTTTAATTGTTTAAAAACATTTATAATTGTCTAAATTACTAAATTAAAGAAATTTTTCTTATGAGAACCATTAATAGAATAATATAATTTCTTCAAAAATAATAAAAAAAACACCATTAAATCAACACCATTAAGATGATGCAATCCAGCTCTCCTACTCACCAGTCCCAATGGGTACTGGTTTTCATTCATCCCAGTTACCTCACCTCATCAGCTTCCTTCGTTGAAGTCTCACATCCTCGAAATTTTCTGATTATCAAAACCTTATTATCTGATATTGGAGAGATGCATTAGATGTTTAGCCGGCCTACACGGCCAAATGCTCTCTCTCATGTACTCCAAGGGATGTATTATTTCCATACCAGAGCACACCAGCTCTAACATGGCGGTCCACTTTTAAAACTACTTGTGGATGCCGTATGATAAGACCTGTAGAACATGATGTAATGACTTTTGTATAAGTTACGAATGTGGATTACTTTAATTGATGAGGTACCGGTCAAGAAAGACTCAATAATAACCAATTTAACCTAGATGCAACAAATTTGATGGAAAAAAGATTAAGTTATTTGTACATTAAAATTTGTACCCCAAAAGCATGAGCCGACGTTTTGTGCTAGTGTAGTGGTTTACATTGACAAAAAATGTCAGTGCAAATATTTTTAAGTGAACTAACATTTTGTGCTAGTGTGAACCATTAGAATGTCAATGCATTTCTTTGGGGTACAATTGAGGTATACTTTTTGGTGTACTCCTAGCATGATTGATGAAAAAATGATGATTCAATTAAAGGTACTTGGAAAGTTATCTTTTCTAATAGATCTAAATAAAGCAACCATATCATGATCTGTACAGAATACGGAGTATATTCCAAAATAATAGGAAAAAACTACTCCTTGGGGGGGTACAATTTTTATCAAGATCATAATTTTGAGATCATAAAAAGAATTAAAGATAGCTGTGTAATGGAAAATTATACTCCCTCCGTCCCCAATTTGATTACAAATTGCGGGTTACGGAGTAAAATTTCCTACTTTTTGAAATCATTTTATTTACAAATTGGTATATCGATGAGCTATAAAAATTACATATTAAAAAACTACGTCAAAAGTTCTACAAAACAAGAGGTGACAAGAATATTTTATTTTATCAAATACTTGATGAAATCGCGTAAACAAACAAAAGTTATCGAGAGGAGAGAGAAAAAAAGATTGTAATCTATTTAGGGACGGAGGGAGTAACATTTTATTGAAAAAGAAAAAGATAATAGCCCAGATAGCTTACAAATTCTACAACCCAAAGGCTTACAAAGCCATATCTTAGAAAAAGCAAGCATATATTTAAAAAAACAATGGGGAAGTGCCACTGCGACAGTGTTCCTGCAAGCAAAGGCCTTGGAAGCCTAAACCTTTTTCGGCACAGAGTTATGCGCTACTGGATATTATTGAGGCCAAAGAAGAGCGATGCGTTGTGAGCTGCTGCTTATCCCCCCATTTATCAAGAGCAATTAAAATATTATCTACTTTAATAAATGTAGGCGGCCGGCGGTTGGGCGAAGTTAATAAGGCGGCCGGAGATGGAGCGTTGACCGTTCTTGCTATAAACAATGGAAGGGGAAGAGTCAGTCAGCCAAATTAACAATTAAGAATATTTCAAAACTCAAAGAGTTGTGAGCCAATGAACGACCGTGATTTATTGGCTGAGGCCATCAACGGTGATAATCAGACCGAAATTTGGGCGGGCAAAATAGATTTATTTATTTTTTAGAAAATATGGATGATTTCTTTTGCTTTTGTATATAGAAAAATATGATCAAACTTTATTTACTTTGTTGACCTATTTTCGTTGTCAATTGAATTTAAAAAAAGTCATGTAAACTCTAGTTTAATGTTGGCGTATGGGATCATAACCCAAAAAGGAAAATATTGATTTGCTTACCTTATTCATTGTAATTCCTAAAAAGTCTGGAGTAACAGTAGTGAAGAATCGGGATGATGAGCTCATTGCCCAAAGAGTTCAAAATGCGTGGAGAGTTTGTATCGACTATAGAAAATTGAATGAAGTAACGAGGAAAGATCATTTCCCACTATCCTTTATGGATCAGATGCTTGAGAGGTTAGCTGGACATGAATATTATTGCTTTTTGGATGGTTATAGTGGATACTTTCAAGTTGTGATAGCACTAGAAGATCAGGAGAAAACAACGTTCACGTGCCCTTTTGGTACTTATGCATATCGTCGTATGCCATTTGGTCTATGTAATGCTCCCGCCACATTTCAACGGTGTATGATGAGCATTTTTCTGGATTATGTGGAGGACATTATAGAGGTGTTTATGGATGATTTTTCAGTCATGGTGATTCTTTTGATTCTTGTTTGAATAATTTGACCCTGATTTTAAAAAGATGTGTTGAAACTAACCTTGTATTAAATTCAGAAAAATGTCATTTTATGGTAAAACAAGGTATAGTGTTAGGTCACATAGTATCTGGTAAGGGTTTGGAAGTTGATAAGGCTAAAATTGATGTTGTCCAAAATCTAACATACCCTTCTTCTGTGAGGGAGATTCATTCTTTTCTTGGTCATGCAGGTTTTTACAGGAGATTCGTCAAAGACTTCTCCAAAATAGCGGCTCCACTTTGTCGTCTTCTTCAAAAAGATGTGGAGTTTAACTTTGATGAAACTTGCAAAAAGGCATTTGACGTTTTAAAGAAGGCACTCACCACAGCTCCCATAGTTCAACCACCAAGATGGGACCTACCTTTTGAGGTTATGTGCGATGCTAGTAACATTGTAGTGGGTGTAGTGCTAGGACAGAGAGTTGATAAGAGGCTACATGTTATATATTATGCCTCTCGCACATTGAATCCCGCACAGCAAAACTACACCACAACAGAGAAGGAGCATTTGGCTATTGTTTTTGCTTTAGATAAATTTCGTTGTTATTTGTTAGGTACTAAAGTTATTGTTTATTCTGATCATGCAGCTTTACGTTATTTATTGGCAAAAAAAGAAGCTAAGACTCGCTTGATCCGTTGGATTCTTCTCCTGCAAGAGTTTAACTTGGAGATCAAGGATAAAAAGGGCGTTGAAAACTTAGTGGCTGACCATTTGAGTTGCCTACAGGTTGAAGAGGATATTACTCCATTAGGTGATTTCTTTCCTCATGAAAGCTTACTTGAGCTTGATTCAGAATTGCCTTGGTATGCTGACTTAGTTAACTATTTAGTCTCTAAACAATTACCTATTGATTTGAATAAGTACCAAAAAGAAAAATTTAAAAGTGATGCAAAATATTATATTTGGGATGAACCTTATTTGTGGCGTTTATGTTCTGACCAAATTATTAGGAGATGTATTCCTAAAAATGAACAAGCATATATTTTAGAATTTTGTCATTCTCAAACATGTGGTGGTCATTTTGGACCCACAAGAACTGCTAGAAAAATTTTAGAATGTGGGTTTTATTGGCCAACTATTTTTAAGGATGCTTATTTGTTTTGTAAATCTTGTGATACATGTCAAAGGACAGGAAATTTATCTAGAAGAGATCAAATGCCTTTATATCCCATTATTATTGTTGAAATATTTGATGTCCGGGGTATAGATTTTATGGGACCGTTTCCCAATTCTTTTGGTAACTATTATATTCTTTTGGCATGTGATTATGTGTCTAAATGGGTGGAAGCTAAGGCCACTAAAACTAATGATGCTAAAGTTGTTGCAGATTTTGTGCAGAATAATATTTTTTGTAGGTTTGGCATCCCAAGAGCCCTAATTAGTGACAAAGGAACACACTTCTGCAACAAAGTGGTAGGAGCTTTAGTGAGAAAATAGGAGTTACACATAAGATATCCACTGCCTACCATCCTCAAACTAATGGTCAAGCTGAGGTTTCTAATAGAGAAATAAAGCAGATTTTGGAGAAAACTGTGAATCCCTCGAGGAAAGATTGGACTTTGAGGCTACCTGATGCACTATGGGCATATCGAACAACATATAAGACACCTCTTGGAATGTCTCCGTTCAGACTCGTGTATGGAAAGGCTTGCCACTTACCAGTAGAACTCCAACACAAAGCATGGTGGGCAGTAAAACAATGCAATTTTAATATCGATGAGGCAGGAGTTCATAGGAAGTTGCAGTTACAAGAATTGGAGGAAATTAGAAATGATTCATATGAGAATACTATTATCTATAAAGAGAAAACCAGGAAATGGCATGACAACATGATATCCAGGAAATCATTCTATGAAGGCCAAAAGGTGTTATTGTTCTATTCAAGATTGAAATTGTTTCCTGGTAAGCTCCGCTCTCGTTGGACGGGGCCTTTTGAGGTGGTGAAGATTTATCCACATGGTGCTATAGAAATCAAGGATCCTAAGTCCTCCAAAATCATCAAGGTCAATGGACACCGCTTGAAGCCATACTATGAAAGTTTCTCAGCTCATCTGATGGAATTAGAGGACTTGTTTGATCCTGACTACAATACATGATTTGCTAGCGCTTATGTCGAGCAAACGACGTTAAACAAAAGCGCTTATTGGGAGGCAACCCAATTATGATATATCCTATCTCTCTAATTTATTTCTTTTTTTTAAGTTCTCATTTTTTTATTATTGTTCTTTGAATTTTTTTTCATGAATTGAATAAAGCCACACACTTATACTGTTTATGAGAGTGTAGAAACCAGAAAGAAATCCAAGTTGAAGAAAAAAAATTCCAAAGCTGTGCTGAAGGGGATCAACAGTTTTCAGGGAAGGTATTACTACTTATTTTCACATTTCTAATTTTTATTCCCTTATCACCCTCACTCCCATGGTTCTACATCTTTTTGGTATTTATCTTTTCATGATATGTGTGATATGCTTGCCATCCCTGCGCAATTATTTTATTTTTGGCATATATTGAGGACAATATATGAGTTAAGTGTGGGGGGTGGTTATGAATGTTTTAAGCCTTTTATCTTGAGGAGACAAAGGTACACATCCCCTTACTTATTCATTGGATTCTAGATTGCTGAAAAATAGGTCAAAATGATGATAGTTACTGAAGTTTTGATGATTGAACTCTACCTCTTTGATTCTGATTGTACATTTTTGGGATGAATACACATATAATGACTTAAAACAGCCCCTGATTCTTCTCTTTGTCCTGAATGTTTGTCACTACAAATGCTGATTTTAGTGAAGGGGGCTATGAACATGTTGTTTTTCTGCATTCATCACATCTAGGAGGCCTTTTATGAAAAAAAAACTGCAAAAAACTGTCCACTTAAGCACATTTAGGGGGCTGAATTGTGAGTTTTTAAACCAGGCCAGATTGGATTGCATCTCTCTCCTTGATATTCTGGATATTTTGAAGATGCATTAATACCTTAAAGGTTTCATACCTGCTTGCTAGAATTTTAGAAAAATCTGCTTTTTAGATGTGATTTGGTCATAAAGTTTAAAAAATTTTAAGTTTTTAAAAGAAAACATAGGTTAAAGGAAAAAAAAGTAAGCATCTCAAGAGAAATTAGGAATCATAATGGTTTCTCTTTATCTTTTAGCACTCTAAATGTTGCATTAGAACATTAAATTTAAATTACAGTTGTGACAAATATGGTTAAGTGTTTTAAAAATGAGTTTGCTACCTTAAAGTTTAAATCACGGCTTTTAAGTCATAGCTAATCAGAACCTATTTTCATTTAATCTCACACCTTTCAATTAGCTAAGTTCAATGTGCACAATTTATTTAGAAGTGTGTAGAGCAGTTTTTTCTAACTCTTTTTTGTCCTAAGTTGCTTAAGTAAAGTTAATCTTTTGGAAATCTCTTTTCTTACCTAAATTTTGGTTATCTACATATTATCAAGATGCTGAAATGAATAAATGTATATACTGGAACACCATCTTAGGTTGGCATGGGTGGCACGGCACCTTTGTCCCCTTAAGCAACAGATCCGAAAAGGAAGTGATGTTGTGTATGGAGAAAACGTGAGTTGGAAGAGCAAACCCCGTTTTGGGCCGTACGAATCTTGTCCATAACCAGTTTAAAATAAAAAGAACCGACGCCATTGAGCAAAAAAAAAAGTGCAATAAATGGCTAGGAAAAAAAAGAGAAAATAAATAAATGAGTAAAAATGTTGTTTGAGCACTCGAGTTGATACCCTCGGAATACTTCGTTATTTAGGTCTTGGGCTATCTAGAATGGGTCTGGGGTAGCCTGGTTGAGACTCGCTACACGGGTCAACTCAAACAACTAAAAAAGATTTAATATCAAAGTAAAGCAATAATTAAAAGTTTCCAGATTTCAAGAAAGAAAATAAATTTTCTTAAGTTTTTCTTTACTTGTGATAGAATTTAGGATGAGTATGGACAACTGGATTGGGGCATTAAGACACTTGGGTTGAACCACATTAAAAGATTGAATCCAATCAATTAGTTAGTTAAACTCAAGAGCTTATATACCGATAACTTTTATATTCAACTTTCCGATGTGGGATAGACTCTAACACTCCCCCTCAAGTGGACAACCAGGCCATTTTGAATCTAACCGGTTGACCACTTGCAAATGAACTCCCATTCCCTTGACTTTTTTTTGAGCGCCAACACCTAAAGGACCACGAGTCGCTGGGTATGGACTTCCAGACGAGCAATCGTGCTAAACGGGCCACAGGCCGTTGGTTACATACTCCATACGGACAACTGGGCTAAAGACAAACGGGCCGCTAGGAATGAACGTCTAGACGGACACCTTGACAATTGAGGTGGGCCAAAACCTGCTCTGATACCACGATAGAATTTAGGATGGGATATAGACAACCGAATTGGGTAATAAGACACTTGGGCTGAACCACATTAAAAGATTGAATCCAATCGATTAATTAGTTCAACTCAAGAGCTTATATACCGATAACTTTTATATTCAACTTTCCGATGTGGGATAGACTCTAACAACTTGATTGTTTCTTAGGATTTCTAACTACTTTTTGCTGCTCTATTTATTCCTTTTAAATTGTTCTCAATGACCTTGGTTAATTCAAAGTTTTGACATCAAATAAAAATAGTTTCTACTTAGCACTGGAGTGAAAGAAGGGCTTTAAAGTTTAAAGTAGCAAGCTGATTTTTAAGGTGTTTGCTCTGTCTGGGACAATTTTAATCTCTAGTTAATGTTTTTAAGCAACACCTTAGATTGTTGGAGATAAGGAAATTGTTGTGAATCCTAATTTTAACACAGAAAAAAAGAGACAAATGAATGTGAAAATATAATTTGCACGAGGGAGTGCAAAAGGTTAAGTGTGGGGGTATTTGATAAGTCGTCAAATCTCATATTTTATTCGCCCATATTAGGCCTTTTTAGTATATTCCAAATGCATTTTATACAAATTTAATCACTATTATGTTTATACAACAATTTAGGCCAATATTTATATTTTGATCATAAATTGCATTCTTTTGAGTATTCTTTTACTTCACTATTTTTATTATCTCATTTACCTTGACATAGGTCTTAAAAGTCGTTTTGCGAAGCATAAAAAGCTCAGTGAAGATGTCAAGTTTGGATCCCGGGGCTGTCAAGAATTGGACAAAGAAAAGTTAATGGGCCAAGCCACTAGGGACTTGACCCAATCGGCTATATGCAACCCAGTCCAGCAGCTGCCCAAAACAGCAGCAGAAGAATTCAACGGAGTATGTGTAGCGCAAAGGGGATTCCAACTTGGAGACAGCAAGAGCAGCGTACGAGGCTGAAAATTCTGGAAATTTGGAGTCCTAATCCTAGACGAAGGTCTGATTTCCAGCCCTATAAATGCGGCAGATAGCAGGGGCGAAGGGGCCGGCTTCGGGAACGGAAAAAAGGACAGCAACAGAGCAACGGACGCAGGGCAGCTCTTGACCAGAGTTCTTCTTCCAGCGCCAATTCTGGGTTCTACCTCTCAATTTGTTACAGGGATGGAAGTTTGTTACGTTTGTTGAAGTTTGTTAAGTCTGTTTGGGTTGTTGAAGTTTGTTGAGTTGTTGTACAACAACAACAACAACAACAATAACCCAATTGGATCCCACTACAGTAGGGTCTGGGGAGGGTGTGTGTACGCAGACCTTGCCCCTACTCGGAAGCAGGGAGGCTGTTTCCAAGAGACCCCCGGCTCAACCTGCACAAAAAATATGATAGGGTACACAGTATAGCATGGGTAAAACACCAAGTACAATGAAAAGAAAGTTCTAAAAGCATTAATAGAAGATTCCAATCAAACACAACACACTACAAAAAACCTCTGTAGCACCGAGTTCCTAACCAGCTACTCTAATCCTATTTCTCCAAAGGTTCCTATCTAAAGCCATATCCTCAGTCAGGGTGAGAAGTCCTAAATCATGTCTAATCACCTCCTTCCAATTCTTCTTAGGTCTACCCCTTCCCCTACTTCCCCCGATAACCGTAATCCGCTCACATCTCCGTACAGGGCGTCAGCATCCCGCCGTCTCACATGACTAAACCATCTCAACCTCGCTTCCAGCAATTTATCTTCCACCGGCGCCATGCCTACCTGACGTCGGATAACTTCGTTCGAAATCCTATCCAACCATGTCTTCCCACACATCCATCGTAACATCCGCATCTCCGCCGCTTGCAGACGACGCACATGAGTCTTCTTAACCGCCCAACACTCTGCCCCATATAACATAGCAGGTCTGACTACGGATCGGTAGAACTTGCCTTTCATCCTGGGCGAAATCTTCGGGTCACACAATACCCCTGAAGCCAACCGCCATTTGGCCCAAGCCACTCCAACACGATGTCCAACATCCTCGTCTAACTCCCCATCAGCCTGGATTACCGAGCCAAGATACTGAAACCTGTCTACCTTAGGTACTAGGTGAGAGTCAATCCTAACTTCCACATCTGATTCTGTTTCACTGCCGCTGAAACGACACTCCATGTATTCAGTCTTGTTCCTACTTATTCTGAACCCTTTAGTCTCAAGGGCAAGGCGCTATCGTTCCAACTTATCGTTTAGTCCCTCACGTGTATCGTCGATAAGCACAATATCATCCGCGAAAAGCATGCACCATGGGACCCCTTCTTGCACACCTTGAGTTAGGACGCCCATCACCAAGGCGAACAAAAAAGGGCTAAGGGCAGACCCCTGGTGCAACCCCATCCCTATCGAGAATGACTCGGAGTCGCCCCCGAAGGTCCTTACCCTAGTCATAGCCCCATCGTACATATCCTTGATCGCGCGAGTGTACACGATGGGAACTCCTCTCGTCTCAAGGCACCTCCATAAGACCTCCCTTGGCACCCTATCGTACGCCTTCTCGAGATCAATGGACACCATATGAAGGTCCTTCTTCCTAGCCCTATACTCTTCCATTAACCTCCTCACGAGGTGAATGTGGCCTCTGTAGTCGATCTGCCAGGCATGAAACCAAACTGGTTCTCAGAGATGCATACTCCTTTCCGCACCCTATACTCAATGACTCGCTCCCATACCTTCATGGTGTGGCTAAGCAGTTTGATGCCTTTGTAATTCTCGCAGCTCTGGATGTCACCTTTGCCTTTAAACAGGGGGACCAAGAGACTCTCCCTCCACTCATCCGGCATCCTTGCTGTCCGGAAGATGACATTGAAGAGTTTGGTTAACCAAACCCACGCACCACGACCCGCATGCTTCCAAAACTCCACCGGAATCTCTTGTTGTAATAGGCCTATAAATACCCCATTCTGTAATCTGTAAATCAAGTTGATAATAATGCAAATCCACTTTCTCTCTCTTCCTCTCATCTCTCTCGTCTGATTTTCTTCTTAGGCGAATTGATTCGCCATTAACAGTCATCCTCGAAGCTCTGTTCTTATTCTGTGGGAGCTTCCTGCATTGATTGTTAACAGTGGTATCAGAGCAGTTCATCCTGGCCAAAATGCGAAATCAAACACGGATTTCACACGATTCAGAAATGGAAAATTCTCAGAACAATCAGCTCAAAATTCTTCTGGAACAACAATTAGCATCGCAGAATCGGAAGATTGAAGAGATGCGAGTGGAACAACAGAAGATGTTCGAAAAAATGATGGAGATGTTTGAGAATTCCAGTAGCCATGGTCGCAGACCTGATGCAGAATCCAGCGGACATGAAAAAGGTGAGAAGAATGCCTTCAAATTCTTACCTAAAATCGAATTTCCAGTATTTGATGGCACAAATCCACGAAACTGGATTAAAAAATGTGAACGGTATTTTGATCTCTGTAAGATCCCTGTGGATCAGAGGATAGATGTTGCCTCCATACATTTAGTTGGTAAGGCAGAGGTGTAAGATCCCTGCGGATCAGAGGATAGATGTTGCCTCCATACATTTAGTTGGTAAGGCAGAGGTGTGGTTTGCCAGTTACATCATTAACAAAAAGGGAATTGGATGGAGTGAGTTTATCATGGATATTTGTGGGAGATTTAAAGATGAACTTGATAGTAAGGTCATAGAGGATTTCAATAAATTGATTCAAGAGGGATCAATTGAGGAGTACCTGGAAAGATTTGAGGAATTGAAATCCTTAATGCTGTAGAGAACCCCCATGCTTCCTGAGGACTACTTTATAGGCAGCTTCATAGGTGGTTTAAAAAACCAAATTAAACCGTTTGTGAAGGCTCTTAGACCTCAAACTTTGGATGAGACTGTTCAATTGGCAAGGTTACAAGAAGAATCTTGGCAAGCCTCAAGGAATGCATCAAAAACGTTCTCATCTAAAACTCAGCCCTCCTCTGCTCTACTTCCCACACCAAAAGGAACCATCAACTATCAAGGTAATAACTCGTGGGCTGGGAATAGAAATCTGAATAAGTCAGACGCAACAAAGAGTGACACCAGCTCAGTAGGCAGCACTGCTAGAAGCTTCAGACCCACTAAGATCTTATCAGCAGCTGAAAGGGCAGAAAAAAGTGCAAAAGGGTTGTGTTATTTCTGTGATCAACCGTATGAGAGGGGTCATATACAATAAGGTCATTCTACGTGGAGATAGAATCGATAACATTTATATGGTTAACTTAGACAAATCTCCTTCCGGCTTTGCTAAGTGCCTCATGAGTAAAGAGGAAGACACTTGGCTATGGCACCGAAGGGTAGCTCATATGAACATGAACCTTTTGAACAAATTGGTTTCACAAAACTTAGTAATTGGCATTCCAAAACTTAAGTTTGAAAAAGACACCATATGTGATGCATGTCAAAAGGGGAAGCAAGTTCAGGCTTCGTTTAAGTCTAAGAACGTTGTTCCAATGTCTAAACCGCTTCAACTTTTGCACATGGATCTCTTTGGTCCTTCTAGAACGAAAAGTTTTGGTGGCAATTACTTTGCATTTGTGATTGTCGATGACTACTCTAAGTTTACATGGACCTTGTTTCTAACTCATAAAAGTGAGGCATTTTACGTTTTCAAAAATTTCTTAAAGAAAGTTCAAAATGAAAAAGAAACAATCATAGTAGCCATAAGAAGCGACCATGGGGGAGAGTTCGAACAAAATCTGTTTTCAGATTTGTGTGACGAACTTGGCATTGATCATAACTTCTCAGCCCCACGTACACCACAACAAAATGGAGTGGTGGAACGCAAAAATAGATGTCTCGAAGAGATGGCTAGAACTATGATCAATGAGGCAAAAATCCCTAAGTATTTTTGGGCGGATGCCGTGAGTACCGCGAGCTACGTGTTAAACCGAGCCGTCATTCGACCGATACTCATGAAAACGCCCTATGAACTATACAAAGGGAGAAAGCCAAACCTTTCCCATCTTCGAGTCTTTGGTTGCAAATGTTTTATTCA